TTGGAGCAAACTGTTCGCCGTTCGTCGCGCAGTTTATTAAAAACAAAAATGCGCAGCTGCATGAGTCATCACAGCCCGCCGCCGCAGCCGCTATCTACACGCAGCACTACATGGATGACTATATAGATAGTCTACCGGATGAAACCACAGCCATAAGTATGGCACGGAATATAACGGATATTCACAAGAAGGGTGGTTTTGAGATCCGCAACTGGACTAGTAATAGCCTACAGGTGTTAGATAGCTTGCCAAAGGAGACTTTAGGTGACGCGGCCGTTAAGTTTAAATCTAACGAACAATACCAAGGCGAGCGAACGCTGGGAATGATTTGGTACCCGGCCCAAGATGAATTAGGTTTTGACGTTTCATTGAAACGTATTCCCGACGGCATTGTAAAAGGTAAACAAAGACCGACTAAACGTTTGATGCTTGCCGTAGTCATGTCTATTTTTGATATATTTGGTTTTCTTACTCCATTCACCATACAGGGCAAAATAATGCTTCAGGATACCTGGAGGCATAACATTGGCTGGGACGAAATAATCTCAGACGATGTTTATCAAAAATGGTGCAGCTGGATTGATCTTTTAAAAGAAATACCAAGTATACGCATTCCACGTTATTATGTAAGGGCCGGTGCGAGCGAGACGGAGTCTGCGTTTACTACGAGTGAGAGGGAGACCGATAGTGCATCGCCTACGCCGCTGCTACGAGATTCTGCGCGGCATCGAGTCAGTGAACGCGTTACGGATAACGAGTGTGCTACGGGCCATGCTACGAACGGGTCTACGACTGGTAATAATTATAATAATTTGCAATTGCATGTTTTTAGCGATGCTTCATCGAAGGCGATGTGTGCCGTAGCCTACTGGAGATGGGAACACAATGGAAACATACACATCGCGCTTATAACTAGCCGGGGCCGGGTTGCTCCGTTAAAGCCGACTACGATACCTAAAATGGAGCTGCAGGCCGCCTTGTTAGCGGCTAGACTCGCAAAGACAATCGCTGAGGAGCACGGACGCATGAAAGTCGAGCAAAGGTATTTTTGGTGCGACTCGACCACAGTGCTACAGTGGATTAACAATGACACGCGGCAATATAAAACATTCGTAGCAAACCGGCTCGGCGAAATAGATGACTTAACGCGAGCTACTGAGTGGAGGTATGTGCCTACGAAGTTGAATATCGCTGACGTTGGTACTAGGGAAACTTATGACGTCACGGTGTTTAGAAATGAATGGTTCACGGGACCTTCATTTTTATACGGAGATGAGACTACTTGGCCGCGCCGTGATTTCACTGCTTTATGTGACAGTGACCTGGAGAGAATAAACTTAATTAAACAGGAAAGTAACAACTTACCTATACTCGACGTTAGTAGATTTTCATCATGGTTGAAGCTGGTGAGAGTGATGGCTACCGCGTTGCGTTTTATTAATAAATGCAGGAAGGTTGCATCGTCGAGCCTGTTATCAGACATGGACCTAGCTGAGCGTTTTCTGATTAAACAAGCGCAGTTGGATAGTTTCGCCTCGGAAATATCTGCAATAAAGAAAGGAAAACGCATAGAAAATAACAGTCGACTACTTACCTTATCACCGATGCTCGACGAACACGACGAGGCCGCATTGACGCCGCCACCGGAGTTTCACCTGAAACTAAAAGGCCTGTAATTCTAGATGGAAAACATCACGTCGCTCGTCTGATAGTGAAACACTACCACGAGAAGGCTGCTCACGGCAACCAAGAGTCGGTAGTCAACCATCTGAAACAAAGATTTTGGATTATAAAATTGAGACCAACTGTTAAANGTTTTATTCGCACACAATTTCACGCGTCTTCCAGTCTGCTGCCAAACGCCCTCGGAGCGACACCGCGTTAGCCTACCGCGCGCAAGAAACACGTGTTTGCCCAAAAGTGTACTGAACTTGCAAATACTCGCAATAAACTGTTTTGTGAACATTAAAACGGCGTTATTTTTACATCGGAGCGAACCTGACCCCCCACATGGGTCAAGCCCCAAATTTGAAGTATTTTCATCGATAAAATTGTCCATAGATTACGCCATTAAAGTTTGATCACTACAAGCCCGGACACACTGTATAAAGCTTCTTCTTCTATCTTCTATAATATAAAAATGAATCGCAAAATGTGTTGGTAAGCGCATAACTCAACAACGCCTAGACTAATTTCACCAATTCTTTTTTTAAAATGTTTGTTGAAGTCCAAGGATGGTTTTTACGGCGATAAAAGTTCGATTAATTACCGGGAAACCCCTAAAAAAACTCGAAACTTCTTCCCTAAGGGGGTAAAACGGAGTTCACGCGAACGAAGTCGCGGGCGGCCGCTAGTAAACTATATAATTTGGGTTGAATTTCCGTCATTGACGCCGGTGGCCGCTACACGAAAATAAGACGTTTTGAGAATCAGAATCATCATTTATTTGTTTTAAGTGTGGTACAAAAGATGCATACATTTTAGCCGGACATTAGTCGTCCGTTTAAAATTGCAGATAAATTTGAAATTGAATGATACTGCGTTGAAAAAAATAATAAATTAATGTTCTTATTCCTATTCTTATTCTTACAACGATAACGATATATAATATTAACGATATCAAATTGACCTTGCATGTAAGTACTTTAAATACTCCACGAGACCTTAAGATAATTCGCCAGTAGGATTCCTGGTAGATGATGGGTTCAGGATGTTCTGCAGTGCTTCGGAAATGTTTGCTCAGTCGCATACTACTGACGGTTTCTTTGCTGTATTACGCAAGAAGACTGCCTCGTCGCTCAGTAGGATACGGGCGAGCCCCAACAGTATCCTGAAGACCGTGGCAGAGAGGTACGACTCTCCCATTATCCGACGTTTCCTTCGGCTACTTCTTACCGAACGGGTTGGATAATTAGTGGTATGTTATTTATAGGTAGGTACTTATAATAAATCTGTAGAGAGGTCAATTCTGTACATGCAATATATTTTCAAAATAACTATCAGGGGGTGATTAGTGATCGATACTGATGCCAAAAATGCAATCAGTAAAATTTTTGTCTGTCTGTCTGTCTGTATGTTCCTTATAGAAACAAAAACTACTAGACGGATTTTAACGAAACTTGGTACAATTATTCTTCATACTCCTGGGCAGGTTATAGTATACTTAGGAATTCCCACGGGAACGGGAATTAGCGGGAAAATCCTTTTGTATGAAAAATCAAAACCGCTTAAGTTAGACGCTTGAAAGGCATGCAGGTACCTTAGTAAACTTAAAGCTTAGTTACAACAGGATATTGCAAAATTCCCACGGGAACGGGAGTTAGCGGGAAAAACATTTGTATGAAAAAATCTAAACCGCGTAAGATAGATGAAGGTGGTAAAACGGGATCCACGAGTACGAAGACGCGGGCGGCCGCTAGTAATAAATAAATTACTAACAGTTGTATAAGGCACCCATTTACTAACCGTGTGGATCATTGTTATCTTGAAATGAATAAATTGAATTGAACTGAATTTCCGGACGGATACGACCTGCAATCTTTCAAGAGGAGAGCGTATCTTCACCTTAAAGGCCGGCAACGCACCTGTAACGCCCCTGGGTCTGCGAGTGTCTATGGGCGACGGTAATCACTTACCATCAGGTGATCCGTCTGCTCGTTTTGATTTGAATTGATGCGAGAAGCCCACTCACCTGATGAACGTCTTCATCCTGGTCTCGATGGCGCGGTGCCGCAGACAGACCCTGGTCAGCGCCGTTCCGATCTCCTTGGTCGCCCCTGCAACAAGACAAAACGTCTTTGAGTATAACATCAAGTTTGAGATGCAGTGACCAGTGTGAACCAGACAAAGTGGAACCAAACTCAGAGTTGGATTTGGATTAGTATGCCTGATGTATGACATACTAATTGGATTATATTAATTTATTGGAAAGTGCTTTTTAAAAGCCTACTTGCAAAAATAAAATGAGTTTTATGAGTTTATGAAATTATTGAAAATAGCTTTTGCCCGCGCTTCACCCGCGTGAAATTTAGTTTCTCACAGATCGTCATAAATTATAGCCTATATGTTATTCTGGGTTATAAACAATAACACTGTAAAGTTTCATCAAAATCCATTCAGTAGTTTTTGCGTGAAAGAGCAACAAACATCCAGACATCCAAACTTTCGCATTTATAATATAATCAGACAAAACTAGTGCAAGCCGGGTCTAAACTACAGGATTATCCTACTTCCTACTAATATTATAAATGTCAGGATGTCTGTATGTTTTTATTCTTTCACGCAAAAACTACTGAACGGATTTTGATGAAACTTTACAGTATTATTGTTTATAACCAAGATTGACTTAAAGGCTATAATTTATGCCATGTGACAAATAAATTTCAATAAATAAATAAGCCGTGTCTAAAAAGCGCAATCTATCGTCATTGGTTCTAAACGACATCGCTGATATTTTTAACCCCCGACGAAAACACGACGTAGTGTTATTCCAATGCAAGCCATACGGATCGTCTTGGCAATATTTTAAAAAGAAAGAAAGAAAGATTTATTGCTATGGACATCACACAAAGACAATATACATACATTAATTAAATAAAAATAATAAATAAATATCCTTGGACATTTTACACTGCGCCTCTAGTCCCAAACTAAGCAAAGCTTGTACTATGGGTACTAGACGACGGGATAAACATACTTATATACTTTTTTTTTTGTAAATACATACATATTATACCTACATAGAAAACACCCAGACCCGTCACAGAAATTAAAATTCATCATTTCAATTTCTGCCCGGCCGGGAATCGAACCCGGGACCTCTCGGCATAGTAGTCCGTTCTGAACCACTACACCAAACGGCCGACAATTTCGAAATTACCTACATGAAAATTAATACGTTTTGCGATTTGTTTGTCACAATGCAGTGATAGGGAAGACAGAATTTCCCGTAGATAAGGCGTCGTATAAAGCAAGTATGTGTAAACAATGTTGACATATAGTTATTATCAGCGGGCTGCAGAGCAGTCGCGCTTGCAGCGCTCCAGGTGAACTGAACATGAAGTGGACTCTTTTGATTGGTCTCTTGGCATTCGTTAGCCACCTGCATGCAAGTGAGTACTAATAAGGAATATTCCGGGTTTTTGTATTTCTCTCATTTCAATAGTCTTAGCATTATCGAATCAATCAGTGCTTTTCTTTAAAAAAAAAATCAAAAGATACCTAAGATAATTATAGACGTTAGAGATCTCATGACGTCATTGGTCATGTTAGGACGACACGCAGAGTCCTATACAAGTTACTAAGCGAGACATTTTGACGCCACGCTCAGCTATTTCCATGCAAAGTTTAAACACTTGTAACTTTTCTGTTTCCAGTACGATTTCATTGCTAGTTTTTCAAAAAATCCATGATTTAAATAAGGTGTTTATTTATAAATAATTTGTTAACTTTTAAAACCGATGCATTTTCCCTATTTACATATTTTTATAAGCTCTATCTAGGCTAGAGGTAGAGTAATAAGGCGACCTCTTTAGTAGAGTCAATTCGCCCAGGTGAACAAAGTGGAATAAATATAAAATAGAAACTTCGCTTGACCTGTAATGTCATTGAATCACATTCAAGTGATAAATACAATAAAATTGTAAAACAAACATAATTTTATGATAAAAACTATAGAAAGGTATCAGAATTATAAAGGTTGTCACAATTTATGGCCAGAAATATGCATATAAATATGTATGCACAAATACATAACATTCTGAAAATTATTATCATACTCGTGTACCATGGTATTACAGGAAAACCACATAAAAGAACTTGAATATTTATCATTAGGTAAATAAATATAAATAACATGACAAAACATAAATTGGTATAAATGTAAACTTATTTAAGAATTTATTTACATGTCTCCTTATCTTTTGGTAGGGCTCAAAAGATAAGGAGACATGTAAAGTGCCCCATAAAGGCTACCTTTTCTTTTTTTATTATTTTCTATTGACGTTCATAAGTTCCACTTGTGGTCTAAACTGAATAAATATTTTTTGATTGATTGATTGATTGATATTTATGTATGTATTACGCCCCATAGACAAAGCAATATTTCTACTAACAGTTTTCAATCTGATTCGCTCCAACTATTTTGTGAAGTGATTTCGAAATTTCAAATGTCACGAATGTTAAGTGTATCTTGGAAAGCTGGGATCTATCGAACCAATCCCTTTTGTACCCTTTGCACCACCGGCCTGCACCACTGGTGGTGCAAAGGGTATTTTTTAATCCCTTTTGCACCACCAATAGTGCCTCCCTATCATTAACTGTAAAACGATTATCTATAATCATATAATATTAATATTATAAAGAGGAGAGATTGGATTGTTTGTTTGTACTGAATAGGCTCCGAAACTACTGGAAAGATTTGACAACATAACATAAAAATTAATAACAACCTACATACAACGAATAATTCCTAAAGTACCAGGGCAACATAATCATAAAGGAGCTATATCAAATTCTTCTTGGTTGATCCGAGAAATAAACATGTATCATAAAATATCTCCTTTATGGTTATGTTGCCCTGGTACTTTATTCGTTGTATGTAGGATGTAGGCCCGGGGTATCGTGGGTCTGAAGTGAAATGTTTATAGGCACTTACACACACACAAATTAAAACTTTTAGGTAGGTTTTGATTTATTTATAACAATTAAATTATTAAGTATTTTACAGTCTACTACTAGTTTTTCAGTCGATGGTAGCACAGCACTATTTGTTGGTGGTGCAAGAGGGATTTAAAAATACCCTTTGCACCACCAGTGGTGCAGGCCGGTGGTGCAAAGGGTACAAAAGGGAACCAATCAATCGATTTCAATGTCAAAGCAGTTTATGAAAGAGAAAAAATGAAAAAATAGAATTTATTTATTTATTCTTTACTCAGGGGTTCAATTGAAACAATAAGCATAAAGTTTGGGAACCTGCGATGGGAATCAAATAATTTAAAAAGTGACATTCGTATTTTTTCGCAGACGAGGAATGCCCTGCTGGCGAGACATGTATGTCAATAAAGGAATGTCCGCAAGACATTACGGACTTGGCTAGAATGAGACCGAAGCCGAAAGACATATTAGAAAGACTAAAGAAAGCTCGATGCGGTAAACCGGTAATGTTAATTTAAATGATATTATCTGCATTATTACCCACACATAAATTACGTGTGTGTAATAATGCAGATAATTATGAATAAATTATGTGAATAATCATACACATGGACACAGCACAGCTGACAGTCATACTGGCATCAGTTAGGCTGAGTTGCTCCACGTAACTTTGACCGTAACTATAACGATAACCGGTGCTTTTTGTATGGAGTGTGACAGAAAACAAATGAGTTTTTACAAGTAGGCTTTAAAAAGCACGTTTACATGTTTTTGTAGACTTTTTTTACGTTTGTCAAAGTTAAAGTAAGATGGTGCAACTCAGCCTTCAATTTTTTTAACTTCGTCATATATTTAGTTCGTCATAAATTTCACATCATCATCATTTAGTTTTAAAAAATCGCATGATTTCGCAGCCTTCTGATCCAATACGAGTATCTGATTGTACGTCAGACGTCGGGCTAATCTACCACTACCTAATATTGTATCTTAATGTATGTATCTTAATTTGGGTTTTCTCTAAGCTTATTATGTTGCTCATTAAATAAATAAATAAATTTTATTAATAAATAAATTAATAAATGAGATCCAAGCAGAAATAAGGAGATCCGTGAACGAACTAAAGTCTGACATAGCCCGACAGACTAGCAAGCATAAGTGGCATTGGGCTAAGCACACACGACGAACTTTCGGCCGATGGGGTTGCACCGGCAAGGTTCTGGAATGGAGGCCACGCACCGGCAAGCGCAACTTGGAACGTCGACCTTGAAGGTGGACAGATGACCTTATAAAGATTTCAGGAAGGCGCTGGATGCAGGCCGCTTACCTTAACTTACAGATTGGGAACTACAAGTGTGCAAATCACATTAGTTAATTTCAGCACATTCACGTTACCACATTTTTAATTTATTAAGTTTATGTCTACACCAAAGGTATTTGTGGTCGTTGCTTTTTATTTATTCTGTTGAATCATTGCAGGCTGACAAAAAACTTTGTTGTAAAACCCCGCCAGAGTGTTACACATGGGATGGACGACCGGGGGTGTGTGAATTGTATGACAAAGAACGAACTAAAAAATTAAATATGACACCTTGGAAAATTAAAATGTCAAAGTAAGTCCTTTAAGCCCAATTAATATACTAAAAGTCAAGCTAGCTATAAAAGACAATTGGTTAATTTAACTACGAATCACAAAACTGGCCTTAACTTGATCAATTCCTTTCTTATCAGAAAACTCGAGTCATTTCATTAAACAGGCTGCGTGGTGTAGCGGATAGTTATATGCAATCTCTCGAGCTAGGGAGTTCTGGATTCGATTCCTATGAGGGACAAAGAAAAATCATTGTATTTAATTATTCCCTGATCTATCGGATCATTACACACAATCCTGAATGTACGTAAAGGAAAATGATCCCGTGCTTCAGATGCACTTTAAGCTGAAGGTAGCTGTTATAGGTATTAGATCGTTCAGCTTCACGTTGGTCAGGGTTAGGGAGGCTTGCTATTCAGACAGTACATACTTTTTCTGATGCTGCTGACGTTTTCAAATAATAATCATTAATTTCAGATGCATAAATAAAAATCGACTGGATATCTGCTACAGTAACGAGCCTGAGCGGCAACACGCTAATTGCGAGAGCGCCTTTCCGGCTAGCCTAGACTCCGGATGCTGTGGAATCGAGAAAAGTGCAGGAGACAGGATTATGGGTGAGTTCACAAAAAGATTATCTTAAAGATTTTTTAATGTTACCACAATCTGCCAAAACACAACAATGCTGTTACCTTACATTGTTGTTATAGAGACAGACTACTCGTACCCAAGCGGACTTGGAACAAGTCCTACCACCAACTGAACCGAGCAAAAAATGTTGCTTGGAAACGAGCCCGAAACATGTTCGTTCGAAGAGGTGACCTGGTCTCTGCCTGGTCTCAACACTAGCCTACAGAAGTGGTTTTAAAAACTTTAAACCTAATGACACAAATTAATTGTAGGAGGGACAGCGACCAAGATCGATCAGTTCCCGTGGCTGGCGTTGCTCAAATATCCAAAGCCCTCCATGTCCTGCAGTGGTGCACTTATAAGCAGCAAATACGTGTTAACAGCTGCCCACTGCGTAGACAATGCTGACAAGGACCAAGCGTGAGTAATAATAATAATAAACGCTTTATTTGACAGAGGAGCTACAAGATTTTTTATCAACAAATGAAAATAAAAAAAACATGTGCCCAGCTGCAGCATGCCTCGACACTGATTTTCAGCGAGTCCCTTGAAGTTGCTTCGCCCTACCACCGAAGGAGAAGCACTCCGTAAAGTGCCTGTGAGTCTTGTTGCCCTATTTTTCATAATTCACTAGCTTTCCGCCCGCGGCTTCGCCCGCGTGGTCTACATTATATAGCCTTAAACCTCACGGAGCCCGAGATCTTTCCAACGAATGCAAAACCGTGGAAATCGGTTCGTGCGTTCTGGAGTTATAGTGTCAGGAAGGAAAACCCGACTTATTTTTATATAGTAGATTTGCGGTCATTGCCGGACAGGTCCTACTTCCTCCAGCTATCACCCGACAATGGCTGACCCGCTGCCACATCAGCTTGCTACATTATGGACTATAAACCGGCAATAGATACGTAACTTAGTCTTCATGGTAGGTATATAAATAAATAAAGCCATTACCAGGCCTGTTCATCTCCGCGAGTTTAAATCGAAAACAAAACACGCACGATGGCCTCCTACAGGATACTATTCGACAAGGCCTCACATACGAGCGAGCATTAGCTCACGCACGCGTATTCTTGTGTATGATGGAAGAAAATAAAGAAAATGGTGTACTAAATAATGTGCAGTATTTAACTGTCTAAATAATAATAAAAACACAGAATGTACTTTTTTAAGTTGCCTCAAGACACTGAGAGGTAAATAAGTAGTTAATATTATTCATGATAATTCATGCTAGATCATGTATTTCCTCCGCCATTTTCCGCAGTTTGGCACCTCACGTCACATCATTTTACCGAAGTCAGCCCTATAGCTTCGGCGCAGTGCCGATCACTGACGTTTGTCAACAAAATGGTGCTTGACTCTTGAGACAAGCTAAATTACATCATATTGTTAATAACATTGAGCATACATTTTTTTAAATACCTTCGCGAAGTAAAACTTCTGTACGTAGTACTTATTATTATTATGTGCCATTACTTTTTTCTTTTAAGTGCACTTTGGAGTCTGCTAATGTACCTACTACCTACCTACTTATTTTATTGTAGTATCATTTTAGAGTTCCCATAACATTCCCAGTTAGTTTCTGTGTTGCCAGATAAACGCGAAATTAGCGATGCCCAAGATAAGTAGGCAGTTAGGCACAACAGTCCCAGATAGTGTTTAAAGTCGCATGTGTCATTCCAGAACCGACGTTGTACTTGGGGAATACGACAAGAGTACTAACTATGACTGTGACGATGAGCTCTGCATCGAAAATGCCACTGTCACCGCCAAGATTCTGCAAATCATAATACACCCCGATTTCGACCAAATCCATAAGAATTACGACATCGCTCTCATTAGACTGGAGAAAGCGGTGCCATTTACAGGTAAAACGTAAAAAAATGTAAAGTAACCAATTAACATAGTACTTAATCAGCAGTGGGGTCTGAATATAATTTTGAATAATTGATGAAAAATGATAATACTTTTGTCAGTTGGACTTGGAGTCAATGCATGCAACCAATATCAAAAAAATTATACAGTCGAGATAATATGATAAATTTTATAAACCTTAGCAATATTCCATGTTTCGTTTACAGACTTTAGGATAATGTCTAGTTTACCTATTTATTAGCAATACTTATTTATAGCCCGACCAGGAACATAAAAACCCTCGCCATGTTGCGGAAAACTAATGGTACTAATTTCTTTTAATGGCAACAGTAACTGAAAACTTCATTGACATGTCACTTTGCATGTCAATAATTAAACTGTCTATTGCTGTCAAAGTGTAAACAAACTTTATTTTAAATGAATTGAATGAATTGATGTTGTGAATTACATTGCTAAAAACTTTTTATAGTCGTGAAAGAAAAGTGGTTCACAATGTGTTAAAGTATTTGTCGAAGAGAAATACTAAGGGTTCGGACAATATTTTCATTGAATAATGTTTCCGACAAAGGTTGTCAAATTGACTGACATGTTTATCGTATAGTACAGTCCACTATGAAAATTAGCCGTGGTTTGTTTCAACTAGCTATTTTAAAGTTTTTTGTCTCTTTGTAAGTGTTGAATTTTATGAAATTGGGAAAGAAGTACCGAGTTTGATGCGTTCATGAGCAGACATTGTAGTAGAATATTCAAGTTCTGAATTTGATTATTGATGAATAATAAAATAAATCCTACTAACTCGATTGATGGTTTATTTCATTTATTTTTTTTCGTTAATTTATGAAAATATCAAATTAGCCCGTAATCCTGAATCCTAATACATAAAGTTAGCCTATTAATTTAATACAGGTACGACTGTACTCAGTTTTGCACTCTCAAATGCAATTGACGCGCCTCTATGCCAGGGTTTTTATGTTCCTGGTCAGGCTACACTATACCATACTAATATTATAAAGCATGAAGGGTTTGTTTGGTTAAGTAACTGCTGGTTCTATTTGAATAAATATTTTTTGTTGGCCCATTTATCGAGAAAGGCATTAATACCATCACGCACGCTACGACCAATAGGAGTAGAGCATGAAAAATGTTGTAAAAACGGGAAAAAAATATTCAAACGACGACTTTTCACGCGTGCAAGTCGCGGGCACAGCTAATATGATTATAAGGACTTTGATTCTCCCATAGAATTAATCGATTGACTTGATGTTTGCAGATTTCATCCAACCGATATGTCTTCCGAGCCACGTTGCTGATTTGACTAAAAATCCACCAGAAAAGTTCAAACTAGTGGTCGCCGGGTGGGGAGACGTCGATCCGAATCACCATCACTCTTCTAATGTCAAGCTCCACGTTCAACTGCCGTTCGTCGATGCACTTGTGAGTTCATTCGTCACCATCATCATCAGGTCTTTTAGTCTCCACTGCAGGAGCAGAACCCTTTAATTGACCAGAGGCAAATGGAAGATTTGGCCTACATTCCCCACGCTGGCCAAAGGGGTTGGGTTCTGATAGATGAGTATAGGAATGGTGGCACGCGGCAGTAGTGACATAGAAACAGTTAATTATTTTCACTTATTAAATCAACTGTGAGCAGTAGTTTTTTATAAACCTTTACAAATTGACAAGTTGAAGTTGCAATTAAATGGTCGGAGCACATCACTTACACTGTTCATAACTAAAACCGGGGAACCGGGGGAAGTAGGTAAGGTTCTCAGTCCCAGTGCATGACTAGTGAACTGGTGATGATGATACATTTTCTGAAAGCATAGGTTCGCAAAAGGGAATAATAGAATTTTCTACGGGACTACTCTTCTCCGGTAAACCCAGAAGCCCAGAAGTAATGTTAATGGCTGCCATGTTGTATAAAATTAGATACATTAGGTTGGTGGGGAAAGAGCTCATATAAATAGCGTGGTCAATGTTCGAGATGTATGTCTCTTTAATAATAATATAAAGTCAGTCTGTCGCTAGATATTACTTAACCTTAACTTCTTCTTCCTGTCGTGTCGACAACAAACCTATACAGTGTCAGCCCAAAACTTCGCTACAAGAGTGGCGTTGTCAGTAGCATTCATTAAATCTTCCTGCGTGCAGTTATTTGGGCTCGCAGGGCACAAAACAGGCTGGGGAACAAAATCTTCACTGTTTGGGTTTCATTAGCTTCACTGTTTGGTGTGGTAGGTGGGATTAACCTCGTTTAGTGCTAATAAGAGATGAAATACCAACTGAAGTTTGTAATGTTATTTGACAGGCATGTCGCCGAACTGTAAGAGAGTTGTGGACAAGTCAGATCTGCGCCGGCGGCGAGGCGAAAAAGGACTCTTGCAACGGCGATTCCGGCGGGCCGCTCATGTACGAAAGGGAGGACGTCGTCTTTGAAGTCCTCGGCATCACCAGCTACAGCGAGGAGAAGTGTGGCACTGCGAACGTACCCGCGATATATACTAAAGTCCATTCGTATATGAACTGGATACATTCTAAGATTAGGCCGTAACCCACTAACACTACGGCACAAACTACGGCGAGATTTGGACGTGCGAATTTTTAAATTTACAATGACTAAGTACAAAATTTAAATGACACACATGTATGTCCCAATAAGTAGGTATAACATACAATTACATTTTTAATTATATCTGTTACATTGTATTAGCAGTATTAGTGCTTACAATAAATCTGTACAACCAAAAGTTCACTTTGTTTTAATCCATAATCTAGTGCAGCGCTGCAGCGGTTCCCAAACTTATTTTGTCTACTGCCCACTTTGAGAATAAATTCTTTTTAGCGCCCCTATTTGTAGTCGAGTGCTCAGTCGGTGTCTAAGAGTCCTCCTAGTAAATGACGCCTCCCAAGCCTCTATACAACGTCCGATTTTTTTCTGGGCCTCTTACCGCCCCCCTTTAAGCCTGCAGCGCCCACAATGGGGCGTTATCGCCCACTTTGGGAAAGACTGATCTAGTGCAAAAAAATGATTTTTTTTTTCATTTATTTAAGAAAACAACCGAATAATACATATTTCTTATAAATAGTTCAATCACACGATCACAGGAACATCTAGTTTGCAGTGGGACACTGTTGTTGTGTTGTGACCGTGTTAGTATCAAAACACGTACGAATGGAATCCCGGAAAAACAGTTCCTGCAAAACCGGGATATCTCCGTTCGGAACTTCGGACAAGTCTTTCGGGAGGTCTTATGTTCACATTATTTATCCCTTGGTTGTGTTTACAACATAAAGAAAGCAATTTAATGAAAATGTTGCGCAAGCACAAGGAAAGGGGAGCATTTATTGATAAATCTTCGATGTCAATGATGTCATTATGAACCACATTTATTTTTGCACTACGAGTAGTGATAGTGTCACATTAATAGTCAACTGCAGAAATAAAACCTACCCAAAGTTAGGTGGTAGTTATATCACAGAATAATAATAAGTACTACGTACAGAAGTTTTACTTCGCGAAGGTATTTAAAAAAATGTAATATGCTCAATGTTATTAACAATATGGTGTAATTTAGCCTGTCTCAAGAGTCAAGCACCATTTTGTTGACAATCGTCAGTTATCGGCACTGCGCGCAAGCTATAGGGCTGACTTCGGTAAAATGATGTGACGTGAGGTGCCAAACTGCGGAAAATGGCGGAGGAAATACATGACTTAGCATGAATTATCATGAATATTATAGTAGCAAGTCTCAGTGTCTTGAGGCAACTTAAAAAAGTACATTCTGTGGTTTCATTATTATTTAGGCAGTTAAATACTGCACAGTATTTAGTACACCATTTTCTTTATTTTCTTCCATCATACACAAGAATACGCGTGCGTGAGTCAATGTTCGCTCGTATGTGAGGCCTTGTCGAATAGTATCCTGAAGGTGGGCCATTGTGCGTGTTTTGTTTTCGATGTAAACTCGCGGAGATGAACAGGCCTGGTTATATTCACAATTTCTAAAGGCCATTGACGACCGTTTGGCGCTAGTGGTTCGTTGCATATGGATTTTTATGCCAAAGGTTGCGGGTTCGATCCCCGTACTTCTCCGCATTCCTCGGCAGGGTACTCACCTGCCATGTAGCACGTAACGTAGCATGTAACGTAACCAACCTTCAAGTGAGTACGGCTCGTCCGCGGTCATCGCGTATCTGGATGCGAGCTCCTGGATCCTACTGCGAGCCACCTTTGTGCTCGCAGTGATACCGCCAGTCGATGCAGTCGCGGCGGGTCGCTGCGATCTCCTTGCGAAAATGCGAACCACGCGCGAGCAGCTCGCAGCGGGCTCGTGCCTATATACTCACTTGATATAGTATCTGATACATTACATGCTACACGGCTAGATGAGTACCCTGCTCTCGAAGGACACCCGTTTTGAGGCGCACCTAATGATGCGCTCCTAGGCTATTTTTTATTATAAATTTTGTAGATCAAAATTTTTAAAATAACTTGAAAAAGTCTAACTTTTTTCAAGTTATTTTAAAAATTTAGATCGAGGGCCAGAAAATTTTAACATCAACATGGAACAATATTTCTGTTGGACGTTTAAGGGTAGTACTACCTAGTTCCTACATTGATGAAATAAACGATGGCCGTAACAGCGTATTACATTTGAAAATTTCGACGGGACGAGTGTTTGTACTTCTGTAGCTCACATAGAGCAGTCGCCCGGCAAGCGAAAGGTGGCGTTACCTACATACTGTTGCCCTGCGGGCAAAAACGTTATCCGAAGTTTCGAATGTTGCCATACCTCTCATGCAAAGCGAGAAGCCAGCATGAGCGACGGTGACAGACGTGAAACTACGTAAACAGCGTTTCGGGGTAGGTAAGGAGAAAATCGAAAAATCAAAATTATAATTATTTTTATTTGTATAGACTAATTAAATTAGTACTTACAAATCGTCAAATGCTCAAGGAGCCTATACATGTCTCATTCCTATTTTGCCCTACCAGCGCTTCGAGACATTTGACAAGTGCTGAGAAGAAGCGCCGCAAGTCCGCAACAAACTCGGTCACCACTGTCAGACCTGCGGTACTTTTTATCTGTTTTTATTCATCTTACAACGTAGGTACTTTATAAACATAGGACGTGTGCTTCGAGGAATAGTTTGGGACCGCTTTATTAGGTGCTCAGGAGTCAGGACAACTGTATACAACATCACAATGTTTAGCTTAAAGCGCTCGATTGTATACAGTAATTAATACAACATCGTATTTTATTCGAGTAATTAAATTACCTCAAGGAAATTAATATAAGACAATATCAAACAAACATTATACTGTAATAATTCAAATGAGTAACTAACTGACGCAAACAATGATAATGACATTATATTTTGTGCATTAACGCAATAGCTTATTATAATAATCAACAAAGTTACTGGAAGTGGTAACACGTCAATAAACTTAATTTTAATACGTATTAATGTTGCGGAGGTTAGATACGAAATTGATACAGGGTGTTACGAGAACAGCGCAGATTTTTAGAAATAGAAATAACTTTATTGACACAGAAAAACATTTATCATTCAATTTGGTTTACCAAGAGCGCCATCAGCATGGCACAATCATGCATGCAACTGTTTCGTAATGTTGTCATTAAACTTGATCATCAAAATTTTCATTATTGTGTTCCAGCGGTATGCGGTAAGAACTGGCTATCTTACCCATTGGCCAGTTCTTCTGTAGTTGAGGATCCCGAGTGAAGCTTGCTTCCATCTTCGGCCTGATCATCACCAAGTGAGATGCAGGCCAGGAGTTTCCACGTTATTGATAAAAAAAGTTCAATAATAAAAATGAACTAATACCTACGATGCCAAGAACTAGTCATTGATGCCTCCGACTGCATTTGTGAACACTAGGTTGCCTTGTTTTTATCTTTTTAGTTCATTTTTACGCAGTTGGGTTTTTGTTTTTTCAATAATAATTTAATTTTAATAATTTGTTATCTACCATACATTTTTGTAAGCTACTTAAAAAGTCCTTTATTTTGATACCCCACTCGATAGGTTTGGAGAAAAATATTTTTAAGACATTATGACGCCTAAAATCCGCCATTTTGATTTTTTTCAATTTTGGGTATTTTGCAAAAATGGTCAATTTTGCCTGATTTCCTTGGTACGAAATATATTTATGTTTTTAACTATTTTTAGTTTCCCATTGTATTAAGTAGCAAAACAATAAAATTAATCCATTGTTTAGTTGCAAAAAACCGTCCAAAGAAATTGACTTTTTAGTAATCAAAAACCCAAGGAGGGACCTACTTATGCGATTTGTCGGGAAACTGTTCAACGAAGTACTGTCCTGCCTCGATGGCCTCTTGGGACGAAATGGCAGAGTGTAACGGTGCAGTGCATTACATTCTAAGTTCTTTCGTTTCGTTACTACAATGATTGAAAAGAAGACCCAGGGAAATTATACTTTTGACTCGGACAAGAACTTAACTTCACTTTATTTCCTTCATTTAAGTATTTGACATTTAAAGTTTTTATTTTCCGATAGCCAAACGTTTCTCAAATAGAAAGAGAGTGCTATTAGAATGAAATTACGCTTCAATTTGTTATAATGTGCCTTCATTTTGGCAAACAACAGTAATGGACATAACAAGGAAATTAGAAAAAAGACTTGATTAAGTTTTTCTACGGTATTATTTGTAGTTTCTGCTATTGTAAATTGTAATAGCAAATACAAATAAAACTTTTGATTAACTTTCCCATAAAAATAGTTTTATACATATAAATATAAAAAAAACATGTGTTCGCCTGCCTGGACACAGAAAATTTACTGTTTCGGCCCTTTTAATATAGCCAGTGTCACTCTCACGATTAAGACGAATATAACGACACCTCTCACGCTAAAATCGGTCAAGCCGTTTAGGCTGTAGGCCGTGCATAAGAAATATACATACATACACTCGAAAAACATAACCCTCCTTCTGGCGCAGTCGGGTAAAAATATGCAGTTATTTTTTCTGTGACACACCGAAATCCATACGAGCGAAGCAGATGTGTCAAAACTCAAAAGCCAATAATACCTACGATGATAACAAAAATACCAGTCAAATTAATAATACGTAATTTTCCAGGATGCCCTGTAATAACGGTTGTTTTTTTAGAGGTATACAACTTTAAATTGGTTACACTGTTTCTAGTGATAGTAAATTCGATAGTTGGTGGTATATTTGTGGACAGTATGTTTTGCCATTTCATAATTAAATAGAATTACTTTTTACTTTAGAACAACGCTTGCAAATTGTGAAAAAATGTATTTTAAAAAACATGGTTCAGTTTTCCATACAAACGTCCATATTACGGTCGACGTAATTTTCGTAACTTTTCATTCCTCAGATGAATGAAAATAATGTGGCAGAGCTATGGTTTCAACAAGATGGTGTTACCATCCAACCAGCACGCGACACATTCAATTTATTGAGGGAAACATTCGATGAGCGCATAATTTCACGTGATGGATCTTTGAATTTGCCTCCACAATCGGGTGAACGATCTCACACCTTTGGATTATTTTCTCTGGGGATATATGAAGTCCACTACTGCGCAGATAAACTACGGAATTCAATGCCAACATTTGTCGCGGTATTGCCGATGGCCCCAGTTGCCCGAAAAAGACATTGAAAATTGGACATCTCGATTACGCTACATTTGAGCCAACCGTGGCACCCTTAGGCCCGAAATCATTTTGAAGCATAAATGGCATAACAACATCTTTTCAACAAGACCAATACCAATGAATAAAATATATTTTTACATAGTTTATTTCATTTTGAAATTGTATACCTGGGTCTCTAAAAAAACACCCTATATAAACATTAGTTCAGCGTCGGCCAAATAATTTATGATATAAGTACTCATTATACGTTATGTACCAGTGTGATCGAATTACACTAGGATAGTCCTGTCAAAATGCTTCTCCGACTCGCGTGTGTCTGTGCATTTGTGGCTCTTTACGTTCACGGGCGTAAGTGTTATTGTTTATTTATCTTAAAGATTATTTTGTTTCATTTGTTTAACAATGTTTCAACAGCATTTAATTGTACATAAATGTGCAGGGAGATCCTATACATGTAGCTTAATAAAACTAAATTAACTATAGAGTTTGTTTATACCAACATACAACATATCAGATTTTCTATCTATAGGATATTCTCTATACCATTAATTCAGAATCTGAAACAACCGTTTTTTACCCGACTGCGCCAGAAGGAGGGTTATGTTTTTCGAGTGTATATGTTACGGTCAATGTGATAAATGTGAAAATAATGAATAATCGCCGGTTATTATGAATAATTACCTCATGATTTGGTAAATGTGATTAATATGAGGTCATTTATGTGTGTATAAAACTAAATAGGCGGCTTAGGGGTGGCCCAAGGGCCACCCCCGCCGCACCTTAACCTATTTTTCACTATAAATCAAAACATAATGTAATGGGCATCATGGAAAAGTAATATTATGCAAGAAACATTCCAAACTCATTATGACAAATTATATTAATATATGATATCAAAACGTTCAAACTTTTTGGCTGTACAAGAGCACGTACACAAGATGTTGTTCTCTTTTATGATATTTGTTAGTACTAAGGTTGAATTATTAAGTAATCACTGTTGAATGTTATTAATTTATCACTTTTACCGCGACTGTCGGTAATTATTCATAATAACCGGTTATTATTCATAATTTTCAATTTATCACATTAACCGTAACATATACATGTATGTATGTATATTTCTTTGGCACGGCCTACAGCATTTGTGAACACTAAGGCACTAAGGTGACTAAAGCTTGTTTTTATCTTTTTAGTTAATTTTTACGCAGTCGGTTTTTTGTTTATTATCTTTTAAGTTCGTTTTTACGCAGTTGGGTTTTTTGTTTATTATATTAACCTGAGCGGGTGTTGCTGTCGCATTACGTATTAAAAAGTGTTGTCTACTCATTTTAGAAGAGCTCTGCACGAGGCCCGATGGAGGAAATGGAACGTGCATCAAATACGTACAATGCCCGGACATTATGGAAAGACTACGAGGCCGACACAAGGCTGGTCTCAATCTGACACAGTACACTTGCGGCTTTGAAGGGCTGCAGCCAAAGGTAACGAAGATATTAAAACAGAAATTTTAATTAATATGTATCAAGTTCTCTTGGCAGTCCTAAATAAACAAAAGAAATTGATAACAACAACAATAACACTGGTCAACAAAAAATCAAAATGAAAATGGTGCCGAGATTCTGTTGATAGTTTTTTATTAGGTGTGTATTAGTAATAATAAAAATATTTTTCTTTTTTTTTTCCTACGTGTAGTTTTGGATCTACCCTCAGTTTGAAAATTTAGCTTTAATCGGTACTTTGGTTGCACAGTTTGTAGTGTTATCGGTACATTTTTATAAATGCATTTATTTTAATATCATGTCTACATTGCCAAGAAGTTGTCTCAATAATCAAAATGTATTTCTGTGTACACAGTTAAAAAGTTCAAAAATTCAGGCCAGATTTTATTAAAAGTGCTTATTTTTCTTACTTTAAGTTGGAAATTGTGGTTGTATTCAAGCCGTGGATACCCAAAATTGTTTTTATCATCTGCTGTGAACACTTAAGGCGATTAGTGTCCTCAATCCGCGCCAAATCGGCATTTTGTAAAGCCTACTCCTCTTTTACTGCTGGACAGAAATAGTTGAAAAAAATATATGTTATACAACAGTTCAAGGACTACATTTCTGACGTTTGAATTTTCGCTACGTCTCTTTGTTTTGGATTAAAAAAATAAATACGGGACNGACTGAACCGACAAAAGCATTAGAAAATTTACAAAATGTTCATTGATTTTGTTATTTTTATTAAATACCTTTACGGCTGAGTTAAATGACACCGACATCAAGGTTCATCAATTTAAGTCTAAAATAATAGGCAGTAATGTATGAAGAAAGAGCTTCTATTCTGTATCTACTTATGCCCGTGTATTTTTGATCGGTGTCAAATCGGAGTTTTTGGTTCGGGGTACGCGGGTGTTGCTCGCGGCGTGAAGGTCAAACGCCCAAGGTCATTGAGGACTCTAATCGCCTTAAGGCAATGTTACAATGGTCAAAGATGCCGTAACATGAAGTTCAGAGTGGAGAAAGTGAGGAAAGAACAAAAAAAAATCCTAGTTTGAGCATAATTTTTTTTTTTATTTAATTTATTAAGTAATTTTTAATGGTCCATAAATAACAATATTAATAAAAGATACTGATTTCTTAAGTTCGATGGACTATTTGGAACGATTTGCATAGATTTTGTTAATTGAAATTACAATTTTTTTTTTCGGAAATCACTGGTCCAGTAACTACTCTGAAATTGTGAGACATGCCTTAAAAACTCAGGATGTCATAATTTTTATCAAAGAGCACTACCTCCACAGTCATCTTGACCAATTCCCAGAGAATCTTGGGTCACTATAGCATGCTATAACCAAGAATAGGGAGAGCGATGCTATCAAGACCTAAAAACCATTGGAAGAGAGGTACCAAGGCAGATGGGATCGGTATATGATGGCTGATTACTGCTGGAGGATGTAACGTGATAGTTCCATTACACCTCATTCACAAAAGTCGTGGAAAATAAAGTTTTTAAGCATTTCAAAATATTATAAACGCTGATTTTGATGAAATTTTGTATTTTTCTATACACGTCAAAATCTAGAAAACCACACGTAGGAAATCAACAAATTTGCTACTAAAGCAACCAGCATAAGGTCCTCAATCAAAAAATATATACAGTTCCTTGGCACCAAAACCACTGTTGACCAGTGTAATGAACGGAATACGGATATATTGAGTCCTTGTATTTACGAGTTTTTCATAACATTATAGGTCTGCTGCGACAGTTGTTATACACCAGAAGGGAACAAGGGGAAGTGCGTACATGTGAAGCAGTGTCCACATTTGAATAATTATAGATATAGTAATATATCCAGTGAAAAATTCTATGTGAGGAATTCCAGGTCAGTGATACCAAAAATATGACTATAAACCTTACACCCTCAACTGCGTCCAGTTTATTCTGTGCCCTATGCTCTAACCTTTTGAAATAAGCGACTTCTTTTAAAAATTTTGGACCTTCCTCGAAAATTTCTAAAATAGACATGCGCGAAAACCATGCGATTCCTGGGTGGTTCTAATTGGCGAGGCACTGAGGCGGTTAAGATTTGATGCAAATACGAGAACTGCCCAGTAGAGATGGGTTATACTAGGTAAATTTGATACTAGGTGCACCTATTCCTAGTATTTATTAATACTCGATCCAAATACCTATTCCACCTAGTACGTAGTAATTTAGCATGCATACTTGACGCGACTAGTGCGGACTAATCCACGTANATTTGTTAAGCCTAATACGCCGTGTGTTCTCCAGGCAGGGTCGGCGACAACTACTTCCAGCTCAGCAAGAACTGGCACCGGCTGGAGCAGTTCCGCGCGCAGTTCGACACCGACCACGAGCTGGATGCTCGTCTTAGACTAGAGATAGAGAGTGACATGGCGGAAGAAGTTGACGGGAGTGTGGAGGACGAGTTTGATCTGGGTAAGTTTACCTATACTAAGCAAGCGAGGCAAGAACGCTAAATCAGCGGGGTTACTCCGAAAAACGTTATCCGAGGTTTCGGGTGTTGCCATTCCTCTCACGCAAAGCGAGATGCCAGCATGAGCGACGGTGACAGATAGACCCGAAACTACGTAAACAGCTATTCCCACCTCTCGTTCCCACCACTGCAACTCCTGTGTAGCCAGGATCTACAGCTTGACCGCCACAAAAACCCAACCAATGAAGGTCAAGTGTGTCCCGGGGGAAAGTTAAACTGTCATTGGACCCGCAACGAAATTAATCAGAAGAACATAGGAGGAGTTCGAAATTAAGGTTCGACTTCCCTCCATTGCAAAGCGGATGACAGGTGACAAACAAAGGTTTAAAACCTACATGCTAGCTACATGACTGAGGAGGTGGACGGATGTGTGGAGGATGAGTTTAATCTGGGTAAGTTTCATTATCATCATCATTTCAGCTAAAGGACGTCCACTGCTGAACATAGGCTTCCCCCAATGATTTCCTGATTGGCCGGTTGTTAGCGGCCTGCAATCAGCCCCTTTCTACTACCTTTATTAGGTCTCTCCAGCTTATGAGTGGACGTCCCACGCGCTTGCCGGTACGTAACCTCCACACCAGAACCTTGCTGTCCCATCTGCCGTCAGTTCTGCGTACTATGTGCCCTGCCCATTGCCACTTCAGCTTGCTAATCCGGCTACGTCAGCCATTTTAATTCATTTACGGATCTTTTCGTTTCTGATTCGATCTTGTAAAGAAACACCGAGTCTTCTAAAGTCGCTATACATTACTATCACTAGTTGACACCACTGTCTTACACTACGCCAGTGCATGAAATACGGTAACATTGTCATTGATTGATAGATGAAATGACCAGAGGTGGAATTGTGTAAAGCAATCGTTATTATTTGACAGTTCATAACGTACGATAAAGTCAATTAAACAAAGCGTTTGACAGAATAATCGTACGTTATGAATTGTCAAATGATTACGATTGCTTTACACAATTCCACCTCTGATTATTCACTTCCTCCCCAGACCTAACTTGGCCAGCGAATGAGACAGAAGCAATGCTGTCGTCCTGCTCATTCTACCGGCGAGGTATCGAAGCTGCAGGAGATAAGCGAAGCGAACTGCTGCGGCGTCTGGCGTCAGTTAACAACGAGCTGGCTGTCAGATACATGAACACCGCGCAACGTGAGTGATGTTACAACCTGTATTTTAGTGTGTAAATAGTTTCGCCAAGACCATACTTTTTTTTAAATTTTACTCTGTACTTTACGCTTATGATGTCATAATAGAAAAGCAATCAAAAGTTCCATACCCGGTAAATCATTCCCTTAAAAAACATCTTTAACTTTTGTATAAGTGTCATATTAAACTTTAGCCTGTCGAGTATAACTAATTGATAATTTAATGCACGTCCAATTGCCTGTTCAAAAGATAATTTATCCATGTGATTTTTTTCGAACCCTCTTCTCTTTGTGATATCTCAGTACATCACCATTCCTCTTTAGATATTTTATGATTATATTCAAGTCATTTACTATCTGAGTTTCGAAAAGGATTCTTTCTTCTTGAACCTTACACTATTGATAGATTATCCTTAAGCAAACAAACCATTATCACACAGAAATCTACGTCAAATACGCCGAAGAGCCCGACCCAAAGGCAGACAAAGCCAAAGCCCTACTGAAACAATTCGCGTCTCTCTCGCGCAAGTCGGCGCAGTGCTTGGACGAGGCGACTTCACTGTTCGAGCGAGTCAACGACGCGCCCAACTTGGCTCTTTTACTGTGCAACAAGGCGCGCTACCACCGCTTCCGAGCGCACTGCAGCCAAGGGGACTTTGGGTAAGTGACTTTGCCGTCCGAGGTTTTTTTCTAAGGAAGTTCTAGGCATGTATCTCACTTGAACTTGGCTCTTTTACTGTGCAACAAGGCGTGCTACCACCGCTTCCGTGCGCACTGCAGCCAAGGGGACTTCGGGTGAGTCACTGTGGACAAGGCTAACACCCGTAATTTCAAACATTACTGTGAGGTCTCACAGTGAGACGCACAGGGTCCCAAAAACCTATTCATAGACAATACTTGAGTGGCGAAGTGACACACACGAACCAATCACAGCGTTCTATTCAACGCTGTGCGTTCGACTTCGCATATAATTGCTGCTTTACTTAAGCAAGCATCATAGACAATACTTGAGTGGCGGAGTGACACACACGAACCAATCACAGCGTTCTATTCAACGCTTTGCGTTCGACTTCGCATAGCATTGCTGCTTCACTTAAGCAAGCATCATAGATAATACTTGAGTGGCGGAGTGACACGCACGAACCAATCCTGGCGCTATTCAACGCTGTGCGTTCGACTTCGCATAGCATTGCTGCTTCACTTAAGCAAGCATTCACAAGCCCTACTGAAGCAATTCGCGTCTCTCTCGCGCAAGTCGGCGCAGTGCTTGGACGAGGCGACTTCACTGTTCGAGCGAGTCAACGACGCGCCCAACTTGGCTCTTTTACTGTGCAACAAGGCGCGCTACCACCGCTTCCGTGCGCACTGCAGTCAAGGGGACTTTGGGTAAGTGACTTTGACGTCCGAGGTTTTTTTCTATCGACAGCAAGGAAGTTCTAGGCATGTATCTAGAATAGAATAGAATAGAAAACTTTTTATTTGCAAACGATCTATCTCACCTGAACTTGGCTCTTTTACTGTGCAACAAGGCGCGCTACCACCGCTTTCGTACGCACTGCAGTCAAAGGGACTTCGGGTGAGTCACTGTGGACAAACATTACTATGAGGTCTCACAGTGCGCGTGGACGCACAAGATCCCAAAAACTTATTCATAGACAATACTTGAGTGGCGGAGTGACACGCACGAACCAATCACAGCGTTCTATTCAACGCTGTGCGTTTGACTTCGTATAGCATTGCTGCTTCACTTAAACAAGCATCATAGATAATACTTGAGTGGCGGAGTGACACGCACGAACCAATCCTGGCGCTATTCAACGCTGTGCGTTCGACTTCGCATAGCATTACTGCTTCACTTAAGCAAGCATTCACAAGCCCTACTGAAGCAATTCGCGTCTCTCTCGCGCAAGTCGGCGCAGTGCTTGGACGAGGCGACTGCGCTGTTTGAGCGAGTCAACGACGCGCCCAACTTGGCTCTTTTACTGTGTAACAAGGCGCGCTACCACCGCTTCCGTGCGCACTGCAGCCAAGGGGACTTTGGGTAAGTGACTTTGAGATCCGAGGTTTTTTTCTATCGACAGCAAGGAAGTTCTAGGCATGTATCTCGCCTGAACTTGGCTCTTTTACTGTGCGCGCTACCACCGCTTCTGCGCGCACTGCAGTCAAGGGGACTTCGGGTGAGTCACTGTGGACAAACATTACTATGAGGTCTCACAGTGAGACGCACAGGGTCCCAAAACCTATTCATAGACAGTACTTGAGTGGCGGAGTGACACACGAACCAATTACAGAGCCCTATTCAACGCTGTGCGTTCGACTTCGCATAGCGTGGCTGCTTCACTTAAACAAGCATCATAGATAATACTTGAGTGGCGGAGTGACACGCACGAACCAATCCTGGCGCTATTCAACGCTGTGCGTTCGACTTTGCATAGCGTTGCTGCTTCACTTAAGCAAGCATTCACAAGCCCCACTGAAGCAATTCGCGTCTCTCTCGCGCAAGGCGGCGCAGTGCTTGGACGAGGCGACTTCACTGTTCGAGCGAGTGAACGACGCGCCCAACTTGGCTCTTTTGCTGTGCAACAAGGCGCGCTACCACCGCTTCCGCGCGCACTGCAGCCAAGGGGACTTCGGGTGATGTTTCTCTGCTTATATTTTCCGCAAAAATTTCATTTTACACCCAAGACACAAAGCTGTCAGAGACGAAAAGACATTTGCTGCTGATAGATCTTACAGGATTTCCACCCGCTGCTAAACGACCTCCACAAATTATTTCCACAATGATCCATCCTGCGCTGCCCGCATCTAGATACTTCCCGTGATCTTCACCAGATTATTGGTCTATAGTCTGGTCCGTGAGCACGTAGAATTTTGTCCAATGACCCCAAGCTACCCACCCTTATCACTTGCGCGTAATTATATTGTTGTCACGCTCGCGCACTCACTGCGGCCGCCCGTCGCATAGTCGCGACAGCAATATAATTACGCGTGACCGATGAGGATGGGTAGCTTGGGGTCATTAGGTTTTTTCACTTACTATATCTGTACTATTTGCTATGAATATAAATTTCTAACATGCTCTCAGATATTTGGGAAAACGGACCTCTAATTATGTACTATCTATCTTCCTACAGCGTGGAGAAGCGTACCCTCTACAGTCAAGCAGAAGACCTATACAATGAAGCTCTAAAACTCCTCGGGCCGCGCTCGTCGTGCGGCGCCGAAGCCGTGTGGGACCTGGTCGCGTGGGAGCTGTCCTGCCACCTGTACACGCGCGCCGGGCTCATGCAGGACGAGCCCGAGCGAGCGCCGGTGAGTGTCCTGACGATAGGTCTCAGGTCCTCGGGCCGCGCTCGTGTGGGACCTGGTCGCGTGGGAGCTGTCCTGCCACCTGTACACGCGCGCCGGGCTCATGCAGGACGAGCCCGAGCGAGCGCCGGTGAGTGTCCTGACGATAGGTCTCAGGTCCTCGGGCCGCGCTCGTGTGGGACCTGGTCGCGTGGGAGCTGTCCTGCCACCTGTACACGTGCGCCGGGCAACTGTACTGACAATTCAATTTCCCACCACAATTACCCACCACAATTTCCCACCACGATTTCCCACCACAATATCCCATCACAATTACCCACCACAATATCCCACCTCGATTTCCCACCACAATTTCCCACCACAATATCCCACCACAATTTCCCACCATAATGTCCCACCACAATTTCCCACCACAATATCCCACCACAATATCCCTCCACAATTTCCCACCACCATTTCCTACTACCATTTCCCACCACAATATCCTACCACAATATCCCACCACAATTTCCCACCACAATTTGCCACCACCATTTCCTACTACCATTTCCCACCACAATATCCCACCACGATTTCCCACCATTTTCTACCAGCTCTCTAATAGGCAGGATTTACAGCTTGGCCTCCAACCTCCAACCGCAATCTAGGATGGTATACTTGCCTAGTAAATGCTTAATCACTCTCATCGTGGCTCGAATTATAGTGTTCGGGGAAGAAAACAGTATGCAAATAATTCCAGTCCCTAGCTGTCCACATTTATAAGAGTTATCAAAACGCATAAATTGTTGATGTTAACATTGATGGACTGTAACGTCCACAGGAGTTCAAGTAGTAAAGAATGATACGTCATAGTTCGTCGCTTGCCTCTCTAACTGTCGTATCTGACATTTTTTTTCGAAACTGACGGCCGAATACTGAAATGCTACTCAAATCTTTCACTCAGCTGACGGGCTCCTAAATTTAAGTATCCTTCAATTTTAAATGGTATTCTCAAACGCCACTCAACGGATTTGAAGCCGTGATCAGCTAAGCAGCTCTCAAATGTTTACATAATGGCAACATTTACCAAAAAAAAGTATGTTTTCATTTACACAAATGATAACTTTACGTTTTTTATCCATTACACGCAGCATCGTTTGGTTATGTATTGTCTTTTATGGAAAAATACTCAATCAACTTAACATAGAACAGTTTATTTTTAGTTTCTATTATATATAAATCTCGTTTTGTCATAAAAAAAAAATTATGCTTGCATTTTTATTTAATTAAAAAAATAATTTTAAAGGTGATACTTTTTATTGTTGAAATCTAATAAGTGGCGAACGTGGACCGAAACGTAACCACAATTGACATTTATCATTGTTGACAGAGCATCAAATTGACAAATCAACAACTCTTGGAAATGCTGCTATGCGATGTCCCCTTATTCCTCAGAAATAGGCATGTTTATGTAGCATACTTGACGCGACTAGTGCGGACTAATCCACGTAATATGACTTTAAAATACAATTTTTTTTTAAAGATACAACCGTAGTATGAATAATGCAATTTGAAATTGAATAATAATTCCTCTCTTCATACTTCAACAGGCTTAGGACTGACAACTTAAAAGTTGGCGTATTTAAAAGATATCAATTTCATAAAAATATTTACATAATTTTTCCTATTTACATGAATATGGTTTGACTACGTTTGTGTGTGTTTGCTTCGTCGCGCTCAAATTTGTTTGGTCAGACAGAGACGGAGTGAATCTCTACGTTCGCACATAAGCTTAGCGAGAAATACTAGGTGCGCGTAATACACGACTACGGATTACGCAATAATAACCTCTATTACTTTGATTGTAGGGTCGGAAATCGTGTAATTTATAAAATACTAGGTGGATCAAGTATTTAAAAAATTGGAATAGGTGCCGCCTAGTACTGTAAAATACTTAGTGTGTGGATCTGTTCTAGTAAATACGTCTCATCTCTACTGCCCAGCATCCGCGTGATTATCGCTGTGTACGACGAACCAGCGGGGTTACTCCGAAAGACGTTAACCGTTATTGTTGCTGCTCCTCACGCAAAACGAGATGCGACTGTGACATAAACCCGACACTACGTAAACAACGTTTCAGGGTAGCCTCCAGGCCTTACACATATTGTTGTTTGAATATATTTGGCTGTTCAGATGTTTCACTGGCCGTTTCGACGTGTGCTGCGGCCCTCCCCCGCAGTTCAACACCGAGCCCTGGGACAACTGCCAGAGTCAAATGACAGCGTTCCCTCCAGATCCCGCTAGTGGATGTTGTGGTTATGACGCCAACAGTGGTGACAAGATTTTTGGTGGGTAACACACGTTTTATTTCCAAGTTGTAAAGGTGAGTCTATGCTAGACGAGCCGAGCACCAGCTGAACGCAAGCCGACCCGCTCTACTCGCGGTGTAGTGTGGAGATGTACAACGAGACTTCAACAATCACTCTACTCGGAGCGCCTCTAAATCCCTGTGTTCGTCAAAAAACTGACAATAGGCGGAGCATAGTCGAGCCTCGAAGCGCGCTCGTAAGTCAACTCGTCTAGCGTTGACCCACCCACCTTAAGGCTCAGTTTCCCCACCAAGGCGGAGCGGACCAACGCAGAAAATATCGGGTGGAATATTCTTTATACAGAATTTGACAGCGGCGGCGGCGCCGCGCGGAGCCGAGAGAAGTGGAAATAATGAAAACTGATTGGCATCCAAAACACTTCTCCGCTCCGCTCTTCGCCTCCGCCTTGGTGGGAATCGGGCCTAAGAGCCGTCTAGTTTCTGTAGCATTGTTCTGTTATATTTGCGATTCTTAAACAAAAACCTCAAATGTGCCATATAAAGTTCGACCCGCTCCTTGTCTTCGCTAATATCAAGATTTTTTTCTTTCCAGGGGGTGAAGACACCGCTATAGATGAATATCCATGGACAGTACTTCTAGAGTACAACGACGCTAATCAAATTAAGACGTATTGTGGCGGAACCCTGATCAGTAACAGATACGTTTTGACGGCGGCCCATTGTATCACCGATGAAACAACGCTGCCGTAAGTCGAAGTCATTTTACTTAACCTTCGGAAGGCAACAGGGGTGACCAGTCACCCCACTAGTTCAAAAAAGTCTTCATACGTTTAGTTGCAGTTGTTGTGTCTTTCTGTCGTTTGGTCTATTCTCTAATTGGAGGGAGAGCTATCAGTCGCATGCGTCAACATATCGCGTTAGGTTCATGTTTTTGATATTTTGACACTGCTGGGGTGACTCATCACCCCTGTTGCCTTTTACGTATACTTTATTTTTTCGTGTTGCTAAAGTAAATGGTTGGTTTTGGAGTAAAAATGGCTTTGTTTTCGGATGATCAAATCGAAAAAAACTTTCATGGACTTGCTGATGTCAATTCCTATGTTTAAACGCTGCTTAGATGATAATAAGATTTCTAAAGTTGAAGACAATAATCTCAGTTCAGTCGGAGGAGGAATACTTTATTCCCAATAGCGAAAATTGTTACGACGATGACGTCATCGTCGTAACAATTTTCCCTACTAGCACAATTCAAACAAAATGTGCTACTATGTAAGAACAGACATTTTTGGTCTTCTTGGTTTCATCACCTTGGAGTCAAACACCTNGCATGTCATTATAATAATATTTTTCAATAGCGTTCAGCCTTATTGCGTTCCTGCGATTAGATCTAGGTATTTCCTCAAGGCTCGAAAGAAATGATAACGATGACACACATTATTTACCACTATTTAGGTCGATTTAGGTATAAGAATAGGATTTAAGATACCGGGCAAGCACTCTCAAATTTAACAGCTGCTTAAGACGATTTGACAGTTGTTTGAGTAATGCTTAGCGTTGAATGGCGTTTCAGTATGCGAAAATTCATTTGAGTGGCGTTTAAGTGCAACTTAATTTGAGAGGTGCTTAAAAATTGAGAACTGCTCAGATATTGTTTTGAGTATGCGAAATGTAAGTTTAGGAGCTGCTTAACTATTTGAGAAGCCGTCAAATATTTAAATGGCGTTTCAGTATTCGGCCGTGAGTTATCTACACCATCTAAATCAGTTTTGCAAGACGAATCGATCTGTCTAATCGCTTGAAAATTTTGCTAAATGTCAGTTACGTCAGTTAGAGAGGCAAGCGACGAGTTAATTACTCGTTTTACATTGACACTACTCCCATAGGCAATGTACGTGAATAAGTAGTGTCATTTGGGAAGTAATTCTTATCTTGTACTGTCCACCAAAGTGTTAAAGATGGTAATTATCGTTCCGCAGGAGGTGACAGAAGTAGCAGACGCCCTGAAGCACGCTCTAAAGCACTGTCTACTGGGCGCTGGGCCGCGTCAGTATCTGTACCAGTTTCGCGCAGCCATGATACATCATCGCCTCGGCTCGCTCTACCACTCGCAGTACAGGTAAATTCAGGATCAAATTCATTTCACTGATGGCCATAGTTTTTATACATAACAGTTGGCGCCACTGTATTCGCCACTAGCAAGTGACAGTGACTTTACTCTACCGGGGCGCCAACTCGTGAGCGCTAAAACGATAGAGACATGTCGTGTCAAACATATTCGTTTCAACCAAAGGACGTTCATCATCATCATCATCATCATCATCTCAGCCATAGGACGTCCACTGCTGAACATAGGCCTCCCCCAATGCTTTCCATGTTACCCGATTGGTAGCGGCCTTTCCTGCTACCTTTATGATGTCGTCGGTCCACCTTGTGGGTGGACGTCCCACGCTGCGTTTTCCGGTACGCGGCCTCCATTCCAGAACCTTGCTGCCCCATCGGCCGTCAGTTGTGCGTACTTTGTGCCCTGCCCATTGCCACTTCAGCTTGCTAATCCGTCGGGCTATGTCAGCGACTTTAGTTCGTTTACGGATCTCCTCATTTCTGATTCGATCTCGTAAAGGACGTTCACTGCTGGATAAAGGCTTCCTCTAAAAAATTCCACAAGAAATTGTTTTTTCTTGCAATTTTGGGACGTGTAAACTTAATGTACAGTATTAGAAATGGTGTGGTTTTTAAAATAAAATCTTAATGGCTTTAGCCTGGTAGTGTGATGTATAAAAATAAAAATACATCTAATTGTAATTGTCTATTTATTGAGTACGTAAATATGTATACTCTTGTTATATCATTTACTTTTCTTCCCAGGATAACGAGCGAAGACGGTCCCAAACGCCGCACGCTTCTAAACGCGACCCGCCACAACTACGCAGCGGCTGCTAACATGTTCGCGACCCTGGAAGACGCTGCTATGTTCCTCACAGTAACTATGGAGCATGTGGCCGCGCTCGAGACGCAGGCGCAAGGTAATTTGTACCTTATGGTTGCTGCATAAGGTCCATATTGCACAACTACTCCAGGACACTGTCAGATTCCTCGTCGGAGCTATGAGACGCAGGCGCAAGGTAATTTGCGCCTTATGGCAGCAGTATAAGGTCGATATTGCAGTGGCACAACTACGCAGCGGCTGCTAATATGTTCGCGACCCTCGAAGACGCTGCTATGTTCCTCACAGTAACCATGGAGCATGTGGCCGCGCTAGAGACGCAGGCGCAAGGTAATTTGATTCTAGTGGCCAGAGAACAAGGTTCATTTTGCAGTGACAAAAACTACAACTACTCCAGCACGCTGTCAGATTCCTCACTGTTACAATGAGACGCAGGCGCAAGGTAATCTGTGCCTTATGGCTTCGGTATAAAGTCCATATTACAGTGGCACAACTACGCAGCAGCCGTTAATTATGTTCGCGACCCTTGAGGACGCTGCCATGTTCCTCACAGTAACCATGGAGCACGTGGCCGCGCTCGAGACGCAGGCGCAAGGTAATTTGCGCCTTATGGCTGCTGTATAATGTCGATATTGCAGTAGCACGCGCCACAATTACCGAGGACGCCGCTATGTTTCTTGCCCTGACGATGGAATACTCGAGACGCAGGCGCAAGGTGATATGCGCCTTATGACCGCGGTACAGGGTCCATATTACAGTGGCACAACTACGCTGCGGCTGCTAATATGTTCGCGACCCTTGAAGACGCTGCCATGTTCCTTACAGTAACTATGGAGCACGTGGCCGCGCTCGAGACGCAGGCGCAAGGTAATTTGCGCCTTATAACTGCTACGTAATGTCGATATTGCTGCTACAATTACCGAGGACGCCCGTATGTTTCTTGTCGTGACGATGGAGTGCTCAAAACGGAGGCGCAAGGTAATATGCGTCTTGTGTCCGCGGTACAAGGTTAATATTGCAGTGGCACGCGCTACAACTACTCCAGGACGCTGTCAGATTCCTCACTGTGGCAATGAGACGCTGACGTAAGGTAATCTGCGCCTTGTGGCTGTGGCACAAGGTCTACTTTTGTAGTGGCACGCGGTCACAACTACGTGGAGACCTAGTCGGTATGTGCTTCAAAACTGCCTACGTTTGCCTTAGCAACGTTACTGTCTCCAAAACTCCTACGTGAGCTTAAAATTCAACTAAAATGGTAGTTTCATTCCGATATATCGTTAGGTTAGCTACTAAGAATAAAGATCATGTTTATTATAAAACGTCATCTTATTTGTCTCCTTTTTTCAGTGACTCCGAACCTCAAATTAAAATCGCTTCAAAACGCCGTCCAACTGCTCAGGCAGTGCCACTCCATCATGAAGGTCATCACAGACCGCGACCCAGAAGACCAGAAAGACCAGCCGAAACCGGAAGATGGCGACGAAAAGACCATGAAGAACGAACACAGTCTTTTGGGTCTTTTCGAGAATCGACTACACTTTATACTGAAGAGTATAATACAGTACTGTAGATCGAAGAGCAATAAGGACTATGAGAAAATGACGGATATGTATAAGAAGTTGTATTCTGCCAGTTTGAGGATTAAGAAAGATGATGACGTCAGAATTTACGCGGGGAGCGTATGTGAGGTGCTCATTGCGATGGATCAAATAGAGAAAGAGTTTGAGTGAGTTATTCTTTCTCTTTTTTTATTTAGGGCCTCTTTTTATTTCTCAATGTTCAGACAACTTTTATTAAAATAAGGGATGATATTTCAATCGTCAGATAACTCAACTGAAGAGTAAGTTCGGGTCAAATCGGGTCATTGACAGTTTCAGTAGGAAATATTTTTAAAAAAATTCTTCGTGTGTTCGTTTCAGCAGGTGACGTCTACTGCTGGATCCCCGAGGCCCGAGGGTTTTAATTTCAAAATTTAATTCTTCAGTTATGATAATATCTAACGTTTGAAGTTTGACATTTGACATTTTTAGGGTTCCGTACCTCAAAAGGAAAAAACGGAACCCTTATAGGATCACTTTGTTGTCCGTCCGTCCGTCTGTCAAGACCCTTTTTCTCAGGAACGCGTGGAGGTATGAAGCTGAAATTTATATCAATTACTCAGGTCTACTGTCCCTTGAAGCTGTGAAAAAATCAAACTTCTAAGCCAACGCAATCAAAAAATACAGCCGTTTATGCCGCAAATTTTCGACACTTGCAAGGGAATCAAAACCTACAGGGTGCTTCCCGTGAACTCAGAATCTTGAAATTTGGTACGAAGCAACGTCTTATAGCATAGATAAAGGAAAAATTACGAAAACCATAAATTTTTAGTTACACCACATAATATTTTTTTTTTAATAATTTTAAACTTACTACCCATTTCCTCATAAACGCGTAGAGGTATTAAATTGAAATTCATACCAAATACTCAGGTCTATAATACCTTTAAGCTGTAACAAAATCAAACTTCTATGTCAACGCAATCAAAAGAAACAGCAATTTAAGCTGCATATTTTGAAACTCGCAAGTACTCGCAAGGGAATCAAAACCTAAAGGGTACTTCCAGTCGACCTAGAATCTTGAAATTTGGCATGAAGCAACGTTTTATAGCACACATAAAGGAAAAATTCCGAANCAGACAGAGTTACTTTCGCATTTATAATATTAGTTGGGATAAAGGAAAAATTCCGAAAACCTTAAATTTTTAGTTACATTACAAAATATATATTTTTTAATAAATATGAAAATAACCTTATGAATTTCATTTTGCAATAAAAATACCATAGTTATGACTCGATTGTCGTAATGAACGAACTTTGTAAACCTTGCAGGTTTGTACGGAACCCTCTCGGTGCGCGAGTCCGACTCGCACTTGGCCGGTTTTTTATAGAAAATATGTCAACAACACCGTTTACTCAGTTAAAAGTTATATAAAAAAACTTGCCCCTAATGTATTGTGGTTTGACATGTTTATAGTGTTCTTATAATTGAGTATAATCACCATAAAATAAACGATTCCTATAATATTATGATGGACAACTGACAATATACCAGAAGTGGTATTTACTTTTTTGGGAAATAAATTCTTAAATGAGTAAAATAATTCTATTCAAATATGATATTCGTGAGATTGGCGTTGTATCAGATAGTAAAATAATTAAATGACAAGCTATTAATTTTCTAATAATCGTAAAATGCTAATGAAAAAAGCAACAAAGTGCCTTAAATTAATAGTAATTAGTAAAACTTTTGGTTGTAGATACTGCATAAGGGTAGTAGCCACAGTTTTCCACCATCTCATACTTCCCAGTTATGGTTTATTAAAATTTTACTATAACTACGTATATCATTAGCTATAAAGTTGAGTATAATCTTGTACAATGAAGACTGATGTTAGTGATAATAATTTAAGTATGAAAATGATTCGAATAAATGTTTTATGTAAATACATTGGATTTTTCATTTAATAATTATTATAATCCATTTGAAAAGTTGTAAAGAAGTATAGAAAATTTAAATTAACATTCGACATTAAAAATAATCAAATTATGTAGACTAAATTAATAATAAACGCATTATTAAAATTAAAAACATTTATTTCATAACAAAATAGGGTAAATGCACCAATCGATGACGCTACGCTCAACTACACTAAGCACTGGCATACAAATAGTAAAAAATATTATTTCAAAATATACAAAACACTGGCAGAGGCGTCACGCCACCGAGTGGTGCAATATGAAACATTTATAATATAATTAGTATTTACAAAACATTTAAATTCATCTAAATTATCACAAATTACAGTTTTTCAGCACCTTAGCTACGTCTATATTTTTATATTTTAGTATATTTTTTATATTTTATTATAGTTACTTTGTACTTTTAGTAAAGTCTGAAAGATTTATAAATCAAAAAAGGCAATGTCGAACTTCTAAATTACTAAAAATCGGTATTTTCTATTACAATTAAAATTACTAAAAATCTGTATTTTCTATTACAATTAAAATTACGGCTACAGCGGTTTGAATAAGTTGCAATTATTTCAAAAATTCGATAAAACTATTTGATAAATATAATACCTACATCACCATAGTGCTAATAACTTAATAAGTAGTTAAATTACAATTTTATTATTCCTGTATAATTGTTTTCCAATAAATAAATACATTAGATTAAAATATTTCATATGGGTGGGTCGTAATGTTAGCAAAGACCTTAAATTCACATCGCAGAATGGCACATCCTGGAACATTTTGGGGTGCTCTATGGTATGTTATAATGTAAAATTTTGTAGCAAAAATGCAATTTATTGCAACATAAAAATGATATTTCAATAGTTATTAATTGCTAAATTACAAAATACATGTTTAAATTCCATAAGCATTCACTAGAAAATTAATATGTAAGTCAGGGCTTCTCAAACATTTTTTTACTGTGATGCCTTTCAGAATATGCCGTTTTTTGTATGAATAAATTATAGTTATCTTTTTAAATACCTATTCCTTACAAAATAAGTTTATATTTATACCTCTTTGGACATACTTATACGGCACACGCTTCATTAAATGACGTGTCATTTAAAACAACGATACTATAAACTCTAGCGATATAAAATAGCATAATATTAAGTAGTAACGATGAACATTCGCAAATTTGTCTTTTCTAGTTTAAGCCTTCTCTGATTTGCTTGTTCTGAAACAAAAAAGAAAGTATTATAAATTAATTAAAGCAAGTGAAAGGTATTAGGGTCGATGTGTTCAAGCAATCATTTTTTGAAGTAGTAGGTATATTATAATAAGTCATCGCCGCTGCCGCAGTACACCGAATTACTTCAACCCCATCCACAAATTAGTTATTTTATTATCTTTCTTCACAACTGGAAAACGACGAAAACTGGTGTGTTTACCTACGTCACTCGACCACAGGTCGTCTTTTAAGACACTAAAGAGGCTCTCTGAAGGTTAGGTTGGGAGGGGGCTGTGGTAGAGAAGGCTTTGTCCGGAAAACCACAGTTACCTCCCACTTATGGCGAGTGACGGAGCACCGGGGTCTTTTTAGTGGGTATGCCTCGTCAACGCATTTTTTCCCCGTAAAAAAAAGGTAAAAAGAAGACAATAATAATAATAGAAAATTCTTCAATGTCTCCTTACCGTTTGAGATCTACCAGCGCTTCCAGACAAACATTATGGCAAGTGCTAAGAAGAAACACCGGAACAAAATATCACCACTATACTCGACGCAGACTCGTGGCAGGCGGTTAAGTAATCGCCAATATTTTATTAATTACTAGGTATTATAAACAACGCTATGCCTCTGTGTGACGTCCCCCATAACCAGTGTAAGAGCGAGAAAAAACGTGATATGCACTGTTTTATTACACTCGCCAGCAAATAAATCGCACCTCCCGCGACAAGCACTTTCAAACGTATGCATCCCCACTTACCACCAATATTAGCACCATTTAAAAGTCTAGTTCTTAACTTCATTTCATTAAAAGAAAGGTTTTTACCCCAAAAATCTGTCTTTAGAAGGATCCAGAGTCACAAAAAAATAGGTAGTTACACTTGAGTCAACTTTTATGGCTATAAAACTGTTAAGTTGGGATTAATCGCTATCCATCTGTTAAAGAGGACACGTGTGATCATTATTTGGTTTTATAACCATAAAATTTGGTCTAATTGATCCCAGAGGTGAGCCCAAAGTGAGGTCTTTTTTCAAGTCACATTTATAGTATATGTTAAACATTTATTAAGAAATTAAATGTGAATTTCTTTAAGGATATTTATTGGGCTTTCAAATAACACCAATATTGTTGGGGCACCATGATTGTGTCAGAAAAAAACCTTTTAAGTTCGCGTCGCGGAAGGTGCGGTTTATTTGATGTTGAGTGTATTAGTGTAGACTAGGTATTATAAACAACGCTATGCCTTTGTGTGACGTCCCCCATAACCAGTGTGAGAGCGAGAAAAAACGTGATGTGCACTGTTTTATTATTACATCGCTAGCCACGAGTCTGCGCCGAGTATAGTACTGCGAAACTCTAGGTCTTGACCTAGGGCATAGCACATGCTGAGTGGCTGCCATTTTAGTTCAAATTTAACTACATACGTAAGTAATTATATTGTTGTAAGTAGTCTAAGGATGTTTGGACTAAATAAAAATATTTTTCTTTCTTTCTTCTTTCTTTCAAACCCATACATACCTTCCAGCGAGGATATCCTGGATTTCTGTGAAGCTCTTGCCCTTGGTCTCGGGCACGACGAAGAGAGTGAAGAAGAAGGCCCCGACACAGCAGATGCCGAAGATCCAGAACGCCGTGTACATGCCCACAGCCAACGCGATTGCGTTGAAGTACCTGCAAATGATGATCATGGCTTGTAGCCTTACAAAATCTATAGGTTGTATGCCCGTTTTCACCATCAATCCTTTATTTTTAAGTGACCCCTATGGTAACACATAACAGGAATTTTGTTTTCAAAGGGGTCTCTTAAAAATTAGGGATTGATGGTGAAAACGAGCATTAGTCTCCTTTCTTTCCCTACCCATTAATTTCGTTTTAAATATTTCATTCATTGCTTCTAACAAATTCAATTTCTTTTTTACTAGCTTTCCGCCCGCGGCTTCGCCCGCGTGGAATTTTGTCTGTCACAGAAAAACCTTATCGCGCGCGTCCCTGTTTCAAAAACCGGGATAAAAACTACCCTATTTCCTTTCCCGGGACTCAAACTTTATGCCAAATTTCATCAAAATCGCTTCAGTGGTTTAGGCGTGAAAGCGTGACAGACAGACAGAGTTACTTTCGCATTTATAATATTAGTATAGATTAGTACCTATGTAGGAGTAGGTCCTTTTCAGGGCAGTTCAGGGCACTAATACACGCCCAAATATAGCTTGCCCTATCATCACTTCGGGACAAGATATTGGCAGGTGCTGAGAATAAGTGGGGGAAGAAACTCACGCCCGTATTCACAATCATTACTATGAGGTTTCACAGTGCGTGTGAACGCACAGGGTGACACACGAACACTGCTTCACTTAAGTAAGCATCGTTTGTGAATACGGGAGTCTCAGTCACATTTATGCTACTTACCTGGTGATCAAGAAGGAAAGCCCCCAACAGAAAGCCGTAGCGAGGGGCGCGGCGACCGACTTGATTTCGACAGGCATCAGCTCGCTCATGACGGCCCACGGTAAGGGACCCAGCCCCCAGCAGTAGGTCAGGATGAAGAGCACGAGAGCCAGGATCGGCAAGAAGCTGATCGTCTCAGCTATGGGACTCTTCTGGGCAGCTAGTAAGAAGTACATGCCGAGGAGACCCTGGGAAAAAAAAGGAAATTTTATTCAAATTCAATAAGACGCAATAGCGCTCGTGTTCATTTAGACTGGCACCACACGTTGACCCAACATTGGGCCTAACGCCATTTGTTCGACGTATGGATCTAGAAAATAGTTGGTTGGTTTGGCAACGTTGGACCAACGTTGGGGCAAGCTCTGGGAGTTGCCTGAAGCGTCTCTGTTCTGTTAGATATGTATGATAGCCGACGTGTGGACGCCTCACGAAATTAACCGACCAACATTGGTACTACCCGTTCGCGCTAAGTTTGCCGGTCCGTGGGATGAGCGTCCCCTCTCCCAACCGCGATTAAACGCAATTAGTTAGTTATTAAACGCAATTAATGTGCCTTATTTTACGCAAATACACAATTTTTATCCAAAATAATAAATAAAAATTATTTTAAATATAGTTTGTTAAAGTTATAGACGCTTCATTTCGAGTGACGTCATATCGCCAGCGGCAAACTTAAAGCGAACGGATAGAACGATGGTTGGTGGCAACCTGTGCCGCCGATGTTAGGACAATGGTAGTGATTATAAAAATATTTGTACTTACTAGACCAATAGCGGTTCCACAGCTCGAGATCAGCAGAAGAATCCTCCTGCCCAGTCTGTCCACTACGAAGGGAGTGATGCAGGATGCCATTAGCTGTGGACAATAGTATAATATCGTCAATATAATCCTTTTTTTTTAAACGTGAGAATATAATTTTGATGTTGTGCTTCGTTGTGATAATGTTGATTGGGGCGCTGATAAAGTCAAATAATAGTAAGTAAATGGTAAACTTGACGAATATGTTCTATCAATCGTGTTTAACGAATCGTTATAATTAAACTGTCACTTGCATGAAAGCATGTTACATTTAGACTTTAAAATAGTGAGTAATTAATGTTTATCTTTAATCAAGGCCATATTGAAACTTAAGGTGAAATTAATAGGTAAGTACCATAGTCATTTTGTGTCATTAATTATTTTATGGAGTTTAGTTTTAAATCTCAATAGAGTATCTCCCCAATCCGTATGGCCAGCGCACTGCAGCGTGGGAAGTGTAGGCTCCTTCATCTGTCTGGTAAATTGTAAAGAGAGGGTCGCCTTCCTGCAGTGCGGACTGAATGACCTGATGATGATCATCATCATAATCATCATCTCAGTCATAGGACGTCCACTGCTGAACATAGGCCTCCCCCAATGCTTTCCATGTTGCCCGGTTGGTAGCGGGCTGCGTCCAGCGCCTTCCTGCTACCTTTATGATGTCGTCGGTCCACCTTGTGGGAAACGGAACACGCAGCGTGGGACGTCCACCTGATGATGATGATGATGAATAATTACCTGCACAGCTCCAATGATGATGGTAGCAATGGCGGGTTCTAGGGTGGACCCAGCCGCCGTGAAGATGTCAGTCATGTAGAACAGCACCGCGTTAATGCCCGAGAACTGTTGGAAGAACACCAGCGCGCAGGAAATGTAGAACGCCTTGAAGTTGCTGCCGCGGAAGATGTCAGCAATCTGTGGGAAGGTATTATTGCTATAGGAGATGTATTATCAAAGACTGTTTTACTATAACTCCATTTACAAAAGATGCCATAATGTTTAGCTTGATTGTCTCCCTTCTTTAATTATTTCGTGACGGAAAGTAACTATTGTATTTTTTTTGCCTTCGTTCGTTTCATCTTAATGACATCCATGCCTGGATAAAGGCCTTCTCTAAAGATTTCCACGATCGGTCCTACGCTGCTGCATTCGCATTTTTGCCTTATCTTCTCATAATTTTCATAGGTAGTAGACATAGACATTCCTCTGGATCTGATTTGTGGATGTCATACTTGAAAGTTTTATAAAATATCCATCCGCCGTTTTTTCCGAACTTTTAATATAATCCTAATCTGTGTGGTTTTAGACTCATTTTCTATTTGTCTTACCGTGGCAATTTTCTCTTAGATCAAAGTGATTTGCTTAATCAGTTGTTCATTAGGCTGGGCAAGGGAAAATCTCTTTTTGCCTAATGGTGGTGTGCCACAGTATTTCCCTGCATTGTGCACCCTTCTGAGGGATAGCGAACTCGAGTCGGTGTCTCCTCGGGGGGATGCCCGATGCCAACAGCAAGGGCACTCGCGGAAGACCAGCTTCTTGACATGCTCGTAAGGGCGTCATGAAAAATGCTGAGCGGGAGGGAGCCTATTGACGCAGTGGCTTCGTAATTGTTACTTGTCTTTTTATTCTTGTTGTGTCGTTATGTTGTTTATGTGTTATGTATATGTACTGTGTCAATACAGTTTTTCTATTCTATTCCTTACCGTGGCAGTTTTCTCCTGACTAGCAGCGACGTCGGCGGCCATAAGGTCCAGTTCGGCCTGGACGCCCGCGCGAGACCTGCCGCGGATGGTGCACAGGCAATCCGCTGCTGCCTCTTTGTTGTCTGGAAGAAGTGGGTTTTTATTAGTTAGGTAGGTAAGTGATGCCAAGTGATGGTTAAGCTTCAGGGTGTAGTTGATATAAATGATCTCCAGTAGCTAAAATTCTCGTGTATCGATAAGATTTATGACCTCTATATCTACATATCGCTATCATCATTATGATCATTTCAGCCATAGGACGTTCACTGCGGAACATATTATGCCTCGCCCAATGATTTCCATAATGGCCGTTTGTCTCTATATCATATCGAAATCATTATTCCCTTTGGGGTCATTGGCATTGTAGAAATTTATAGTGTTATCCTTTACGAAAGTTAATCATTATCATCACATTTCAGGCAATTGCAGTCCATAAGCCTCGCACCAAAGAGCATCAGTTACAAATAATATTGATTATTATGATTACGTAAAACGCTTCATTTGTGTCGATCCAAACTTTTATATGTTAAATTGTTCTTTTTACAGGGTTACCAACAGAAAATGCTGCAAAAATTGCAGTAAATTCAAATCTTCCCTTACTTTTGAGACATCATATATATATTTCGAATCTTTTCCGCTCATTACCCGTTACCTTTAAGGTTTAAAAACTTACTGTTAATCAGATGGTACGTAGGCGTCTCAGGCATGAAGAAGAAAGCTATGCAGAAGACCGCGACGAAGGCCACGCCCACGTACGCGATGGCCGAGTACGATATGAAGGGCCCGATACCGTAGACGAGCAGGAAACCCACTGTGATGAAGGCCTGGAGAAAAGAGCCGAGAGCTCCTCGAGACTCGTCCTGGAAAACAATTTAAATAATATTCTTAATGAATATGGTTACGGATATTTTTTTATTTCGGATATCCGAAAGTTTCGGTTATGGCTACGGATATCTGTGCTTGAATGCAATTTTCAATAGTTGTCCAACACAGTTCATTCATGGCCGCACAGTTCACATCGAATAAAAAGTGATAAAAAAATAAAAATTGATACTAGATGGCATTATAAAGGTATCTAAATCAGGCTTAAACTGCCTACATCCGAAACTATCCGAAACTTTTGAATCGGTTACGGTTACGAATATCCATAACATCTCTGATTCTTCATACGTAGATGGAATTACGGCATTTGTGGTAACTGGGCACACAGACTAAAGAGAAAAAATTGTATAAGCCCTACCCCATAATCTCTGAAAGACAAAGTACAAAGAGATTTATCCACTGCAGCAGGTAAAATTTTATCAAGGACCAACAATACAAGGTTCGTATACGAAAATGGGTAGTAACATTTTACAATAGTTCCCGATTGGTTAAAAATGCACCACAAGCGACTAAGGCTGGGTAGCACCATATTACTTTAACTTTGACAAACGTCAAAAATCTGTCAAACTCCATACCAAAAAGCACCGGTTATCGTTATAGTTACCGTTAAAGTTAGGTGGTGCAACTGAGCCTTACCCTTCCAAAAATAGAATAGAATAGTAATCTGCTGTCTTCAGCTTAGTTTCAACTTAGAGAGTGTACAAGTAATAAATCTCTTTCTATTGGGCACACTTTATGTATTATTATAATTGTAAATTACCGTAGCAATCTCAGCGCAGTACATAGGAGAAATAGTGAAGATCATTCCCACAGCGAGACCCCAGAAGATTCTTCCGGCGTAGATGAGGCCGACATTGGTGGCCGCCGCGATGAGGATCCAACCCACGAAGAGAGGGATGGAGGAGCTTAGGAGACCCCATTTGCGGCCAATCTTTGACGCTGCGAAACCTCCGACGAAGGGACCTGAAATGTCATGGGGTCACATTAGTTTTATGGACTGAATAGATTGGTATAACACAGTCAAGTAACTGCGCACCTGGCTGGAATGCGACTCTTGCTGCGTTCGCCTCGTCCGTAAAAGGTGGCGGTTCGCATAGCGACAGAGACAGGAGACCGAGACGGGAGACCGCGAACGTTACTTGACTTTAGACAATGTATAAGCGACAGTTTGCAAGCGAGACAGAGACACAGGTCTCTGCCTTAGTCAAATAACGGTCGCGGTCTCCCGTCTCGGTCTCGTGTCTCGGTCTCCTGTCTCTGTCGCGGTGCGAACCGCCACCTTAACAGGGCGTCGATGTGACGTCATAGCAGCCAGGTGCGCAGTTAACTTGAACGGGTTGTAGGTTGTATGTAATTTAATCTTCATGTCTCATCTTTTTTATATTAAGACTATGATTTTAATTTATCCAGGTACCTACGTAAGTCAAAATCTTCAACATCATCAGGAAATTTTGTCTCCATTGCAGAAAGACCCTTTTAAATTTAGCAGAGTCAAATGAAGGATTTGAACAGATGGGATGGAGAGGCCTGATGTTCGCATTTTCTCTCTTACTTACCTGTGGTTCTATTCTATTTTTCTGGCAGAGTCCTAAACGTCAATACCAATTCAAAACCTGTTCTCTTTTCAGATTAAAAAAAAGTGAATAAACTTACCAAATATGGCTCCCACTGTGAGCAAAGACCCGATCCACGCGGTCTGGTCTGCCGTCACCTTCTCAGGCAGAGGGGACTGGGTCAGGTTGCCAAGTATGGGGCTCACGGGCGACGTCCATCCCATGGAGTAACCCGTAGTGGCCACCACGATGTTCGCTGGAAGAAAAGTCTATGGTTATTAAAGAGGTAAGTGTAAGGCTTTAAAGGACATGTCACAATGAATGCGTTCTGCGGTCAGGTTAAAGTGCGGACTGCCTTTACTTTGACCGCAGAACGAGTCTAAGTATTTTTTTTTATGTGACAGGAGGCAAATGAGCAGACGGATCACCTGATGGCAAGTGATCACCGTCGCCCATAGACACCCGCAGACCCAGGGGCGTTACAGGTGCGTTGCCGGCCTTTAAGGTGAAGATACGCTCTCTTCTTGAAAGGTTGCAGGTCGTATCAAGTCTGCTTCTTTCATATTCTTGATTCGAAGGGGAGAATTTTGATTATATGAAGGGAAATTATTTGTGGACTTTCCCAATTGGATCAAAATATTCCCGCCCTTCAGCGTAAGCTTATAGATTTGTAACTAATTCTGAGACCTAGTTATTCATTAGAGTGCTCAGAAATTCATTCCGTCACCAATGTTATAATAGCGCTTTTAAAAAATATGTTTAAGTATGTTTAAATATCCGTTGTCTAGTACCCATAGTACAAGCTTTGCTTAGTTTGGGACAAGAGGCGTAGTGTAAAATGTCCAAGGATATTTAAAAAAATATCTGGGTGGTGTAAGTATCTATTATTGACGGATCTAATGCCGTAATAAGTAATCTCTATTAGTTAATTGACCACAGGAGAACTCCTGAAAATACACGTGTATCACGCGTGGCACGCATGAAAACAGGAAAATTCTTTTTTGTCTGTGTATTTTTGTAAATCTTATGCGTTATCAATTTTACTTGTCACGAGACTTACACGTCGCATTTGCCACGTGGAGTGTGTGCAAGTTTTTTCTTCATCAAACAGACATGACTCAAATGTCTGAAGTTCCACGTTGGAACCGTCAACGTGGCATGTTTACATCAGTTTAGTAGCGTGTACACGAGGCTTACCGCGAGCAAATATTAATCGCACCGAATTTAACACCCGATGATATGAAAGCAAACTCGTGGTGCGCACACATTAGGGCTGACGAAAGTGGGTAAATTAAAATACCTACTTTAAAACAAAATACGTATGTTAAAATGTTTTTTTTTATTTTTATTTTTTTTATATCTGCAATCAGCCCAGCGGCTTTAATCAGATTTGATGTTGATTGTTAATTCGACTTTTGGGGAGTGCACGTCCTGTGATGTGTCATCCCTGCTCTTTTTCTTCCTGAGAAGTTTTATATGGAAGCCAATCGCATTCTTTTCAACCGAAACAGGCAGTTGTTTGTATTCACGAGCTGTGTAGCCAGATGGTTGCTATGTCGTTCAAGGCGTTGCTTGTAGGATACAGAAGAACTTTCTATTTCCTCCTTGACTGTAGCGATTTCTAGGTACTCGTGCACTTCCGTGTTTCGTATGAACCATGGGGCATTGATCAGGATCTTTAACACTTTGTTCTGGTAGCGCTGCAGGATTTCAACATTTGAGTGACTAGCTGACCCCCAGAGTTGTATGCCATATGTCCAAATCGGTTTAAGGATAGACTTGTAAATTAGGACTTTGTTTTCCAGGCTTAGCGTTGACTGTCTGCCTAGCAGCCAGTACATATCTGCAAACTTTTTGTTTGCCTGTTCTCTTTTGGCCTTTATATGGGCTCGCCAAGTGAGTCTCCTATCCAAGTGCATGCCCAGGTATTTTACTGTCGTGTCTGTTGGCAGGATAGCACCATCCAGTGTTACCGGTGAACAGTCCCCTCTCTTTAACGCGAAAGTTATGTGGACGGACTTTGCTGGGCTTGCTCGGATTCTCCACTTTTTCAGCCATCGTCCAATTTCGTCCAGGCATTCTTGTAATTTTGCAGATGCTGTGTTCGGGTCTTTACTGCAGGAGAGGATTGCAGTGTCATCTGCATAGGTAGCAGTCACAACTTTATTTGACGTTGGTAGGTCAGCGGTGTAGATTGTGTATAGCACAGGACCCAGCACCGAACCTTGGGGTACCCCTGCTTCTATCTGGCAGATTGAAGACAGATACTCCTCGTATTTAACCTGGAATAATCGGTCTTGCAGATAGGACTTCAGCAACATGTACGCAGTATTTGGTAGATGAATCTTAAGCTTGTATAATAGGCCCTTGTGCCAAACGCGGTCAAAGGCCTGCTGGATATCGAGAAAGACTGCCGAGCAGTATTCTTTTTTCTCGAGTGCTTGCCGTATCGTATGCGCTACTCGATGTATTTGTTCCGTCGTCCCATGGTTTTTGCGGAAGCCAAATTGGTGGTCTGGTATAACTTTGTCTGCTATTAGTGCTGGTAATAGGCGTTTCAGAACCAGTTTCTCGAAGACTTTTGACAGCAAAGGAAGAAGACTTATGGGTCTGTATGATGTAACCTCTATAGGAGGCTTCCCCGGTTTGGCTATCATGTTTATGATGGATACTTTCCATAACTCTGGAAAATGTTGTAATCTCAGTATTGCATTAAAGAGGATTGTCAGCAGGACGATGCCTTTTCTTGGTAGTTGCTTAAGAACTTCTGCCGTTATAAGATCAAATCCTGGTGCCTTTTTTTGTTTTAAGTGCATGATAGTTCTCTTGACTTCTATTGCCGTCACAAGTCTAAATGGCGGCGACAGTTGTTGGTCACTGTTTAAAACTTCGTCAATATCCTGCTCTGATTGTGTATTATCAGGTTCGTTAGGTTTGAATACATTTTTTAGGAAATTAGCAAATAACTCAGTTTTATCTTGAGGCTTTCGTGACCAGTTGCCGTTAGCTTGTCTCAGTGGAGGAATGTGTTCTTTTGGCCTTTTCAGTGAGTTGGTCATTTTCCAAAGTGTATAATCCTCTGCTTTGTACGGTGATAGAGTCTTAAGTTTGTCTTAAAGGGTATTGTTCTCATTTTCTCTTAGCATTTCCTTCAGTTCCTTTTGTATTCTATTAAGGGCTTTCTTATCTTGACGATTCCTGCTGGTGTGCCACTGACGTCGCAGTTTTCTCTTTTCAGTAATCATTTGTCGTATTTCCAGCGTAGTGTCATGATTTTGTGGTTTAGATGCCATGTGTGGAGTTGATAGCCATGCCGCCTTTTGTATTAGGTTAGTGGCATATCACGCAGCGTCATCTATGTCTTCTACCGTCTTTAGAGGTATGCGCAGGTTAACATTATCACTTATATATTCCCTAAAGGACTCCCAGTCAGTTTTATGGTTATACAGGGTCTCTCGTGGTTCTTTCCAGATTACTGTGGTACTCAATGTGCATATCACAGGTGTATGGTCTGAGGATCCATCTAGGCATGCTTCCACTTTTGTGTATAATCCCGACATCTTTTTAGTGATGAAGAAATCGATGAGATCTGGAGTTTTGTTAGGGTCTGATGGCCAGTAAGTTGGTTCTCCTGTAGATAGTATATTGAGGTTATTGCTATCAATTGCCTTTTTTAGCTCTCGGCCCTTTGTCGTCGTCAATCGGGAGCCCCAGAACGTGTGTTTTGAATTGTTAAAATGTTTAAAAATGGAGAAGTTTCTAGGGGGTAGGACTGTATGTATATTTTTGTTTTCTTTAAGCACTGCTGTCTACAGTTTAATGGAGTTTTATCATTTACTGCGACCAATTTCCATTTACATCTTCTATAAGATAAGATAAGATAAGATAAGATAAGCATTTATTGTTGCATGCATTTAAAAGGCACATAATGCTAAAGTACACAATTTATCCATTTCGGACGTACAATATAAATTGTCAAAAACATAATTAATTATTAATTGGATTATTATTTGCAATGTCAGTTATTATAAAATTATTCATTACATTACATTAAAATATTCATTTAAATTATAAAAAGATTTGTCAAATATCCAGTCTTTGAGCGTTCGTTTAAATTTGATTCCCTCTAATTGTTTTATAGTATTTGGCAATCGATTAAATATTTTTATTCCAGTTATGTATGTACTTTTTTCATAAATGTAACTAGAGGGTTTTACAACACACATATTATATTTATGTTGCGATCGTAGATAATAAATATATAAAACCGATTTTATTGTAACCGATGTGGTGACTAAACATGTAAGCGCTTTGGGTTTTCTGTAAGCTTATTATGTTGCTCATTAAAATAAATAAATATAAAATTTTATATAAAAAAAAACCGACTCCAAAAAACCTACACTAAAAAGTAGAAAAATAATTACTAATTACCTACTTATTTATTAGGACGAATTAATATTTATGTAGGTATAAAAAAAAAAAAAATCCAAAATTCCCACGGGAATGGGAGTTAGCGGGAAAAAACATTTGTATGAAAAAATCTAAACCGCGTAAGATAGATGAAGGGGGTAAAACGGGATCCACGCGTACGAAGTCGCGGGCGGCCGCTAGTTAATTATAAACAGCTAATTAAAAAATGTCGATGAAAACTTTCAGTTAATATGAGATTTTTTAATTAATTTTTAGTACATTGTTAATGCTTTTAAGATATTCCGGAGTACCAGATTCTTTTAAATATCAAAAGCAGTTATATTTTTTTGATAGCAACCCTACGTAGCGCCACGTTGAAGCCGCCACGTTGCTTATTTACTTTCAGTTTAAAAGAGTTTATCTACGGCTTAATGATGAGATTGTGATCTTGTGGTGCATGTATACCGTATACCTACCTACTAGACATTTAAACGAAATTAAATAGGAAAAACAAATAAATACAATGGAAATGTTCAGAAAAATTACAGTTGGAGTAAAAGTTACGAGTTGTTGATTTAAGTGGAAGAATTATGATTTTAATTTTATGCGGTGTTTTACTTCTTTTATCGTTGTTTCACATTAGATAGCTTATTTAGGTAATTTGTATTCAATTAATCAGTAGGTACTAATACACTAAATACACTACCAAAAGTTATTATTTTACTAGCTTTTGCCCGCGGTTTCACCCGCGTGAAATTTAGTTTGTCTCATATCGTCATAAATTATTGCCTATATGTTGTTCTGGGTTATCTATACTTATAATAAATCTTTAGAGAGGTCAATTCTGTACATGAAATATATTTTCAAAATAACTATTAGGGGGTGATTAGTAATCGATATTGATGCCAAAAATGCAATCAGTAAAATTTTTGTCTGTCTGTCTGTCTGTATGTTCCTTATAGAAACAAAAACTACTCGACGGATTTTAACGAAACTTGGTACAATTATTCTTCATACTCCTGGGCAGGTTATAGTATACTTAGGAATTCCCACGGGAACGGGAATTAGCGGGAAAATTCTTTTGTATGAAAAATCTAAACCGCTTAAGTTAGACGCTTCAAATTTGGCATACAGGTACCTTAGTAAACTTAAAGCTTAGTTACAACAGGATATTGCAAAATTACCACGTGAACGGGAGTTAGCGGGAAAAAACATTTGTATGAAAAAATCTAAACCGCGTAAGATAGATGAAGGGGGTAAAACGGGATCCACGCGTACGAAGTCGCGGGCGGCCGCTAGTAAACAATTACCTATACTGTAAAATTTAATCATAATCCGTTCAGTAGTTTTTGCGTGAAAGAGTAACAAACATCCAGACATTCAGACATCCAAACTTTCGCATTTATAATATTAGTAGGAAGGATAGGACTTTATTTTATCGGGTAACCAAAAAGACATACACTGAAACCATCCCGACAACATTATTTTGTTAACTTAATCTAAGTGCTGCTTTATTAATGTGTTCCCCAGTCAGTAACCTTCTTTCTATCTGTATTATAAAAAAATCTTGTTTGTAATTTTTTCAAGCGTTTTCGTTTAATGACTTCGACAGAAGTGTCGTACACATGTTTGTACTACGATAAAGTTTAGTAGAAATGATTAGATAGATTTTATAGTTGTTCAAATAAAAAATTAAATTTAGGCCACACTGTAAACATGCAGGTGGAATTTGTTTAATCTATTTTAAGGAGTTAGGCTATTTTAAGAATTGTTCTACATTTCCGAAAACAAGATTTTGTTGTCTTTGTGGAACCTCTTTTTTATTTTTTTTTGGATTTCTTTGAGTTACATTAATGGCGTACCGAGATACTGTGTTTTAATTCTAGGTTTAGTTAGTTTCTTCTCATTTTATAACAGTTTTAGTTATGTCTGTTACTGTAGGTTTTTCATTTTTTAAGTGGAATGCGTATGGAGTCGCCATGAAAGTCGCTATTAATGTGAGATACTACATAGACACATAATAATTAACTGCATAGTGGTCTTTAAAACTTACTGGGGACTCAGGCTTTTAGGGATCAAGGAGTCCCTAAAAAGAAAATCGCGAAAATGTTGAATTTTTCAGCGATTACGAACAACACAAGTTACTGTAAATTTTTTTTTGGATAGGGCGCAACCCTCTCGATCTTCGATCACTCTAAGAGCGTGCCTAGGGTACCTCTTAGGAAATTAGGAACCAGATTTTCCCTACCGTCTGCGTACACAAATATTGAAGTATCGAAATAGTTTTTATTACCCATTATTCCATAATTAAACATAGTCCATTGTTCTCATTATGTGACTTAGTCTTTAGTCTTAGTACATGTATTATACATATGTATAAAACAAAGTTGCTGTCGCTGTCTGTTCCTATATACATATGCTTAAATCTTTAAAACTATGCAACGGATTTTGATGCGGTTTTCAACAATAGTTAGAGGGATTTATGAGAANTGGAGACCCAAATTTCCGAATGGAATGGTTGCTTCAATGATTGGTTTCGTGTATGGAAAAATGTGTCAAATTTCGCGGAGAATACTTTAAAAAGCAATAAATACATTTTTAAATAGTAATGTTGTTTCACTTGCTTGATTCCCGAAATTTTCAGTGCCGCCCTCGTACAATTAAATGTAAAATAATGTCTTAACCTGTAGTAAATATACTTGTTTCTTTTTGTTTCAGAGCAGAAAGACAAAATAAAGAAAAAAATCAATAGCGGCGACCATGAAACCGATTTTTTCTCATTTAAAGTAAGATGAGATAAAAGTATTAATAATAAAAAAATATATGTTATGTTTGTTGTTTTATTTAATGTCAAACATGCATATTTATTGCAATATAATAGAACCCCATACGAATCCGGGGCGGGTCGCTAGTTATACATATATTACATTATTATTACACAAGGGACAGACAGACAGCGACTTTCTTTTATACTATGTACCTAGTGATTTACAAATTTTAGATGTGCTCCTTTCAGAATTTTAACTAATAACCCCTTACCCTTATAGTAGTTTTTAAGGATTACTATAAATATATTTATTTCAGACATAGTTCATAATTTTGTTAGTAGTACAGAAACTTATACAATTAAATGTAAAATAATGTCTTAACCTGTGGTAAATATACTTGTTTCTTTTTGTTTCAGAGCAGAAACACAAAATAAAGAAAAAAACCAATAGCGGCGACCATGAAACCGATTTTTTCTCATTTAAAGTAAGATAAGATAAAAGTATAAATAATAAAAAAATATATGTTATGTTTGTTGTTTTATTTAATGTCAAACATGCATATTCATTGCAAGTTTGTTAAGGCAAACTTACATATTATTTATAGAAGCAGACATAATGCAAGTTTGTTAAGGCAAACTTACATATAATTTATAGAAGCAGACATAATGCAAGTTTGTTAAGGCAAACTTGCATATACTTTATAGAAACACATTAATGCAAGTATGTCGCTCGGAAACTAGAAAGTTTGATTTAAACTTGCCTCAACTTTACATACTTGCCATGGCAAATTTGAAACAAAGCTTCATTTTTGATACATCAAACTTACTGCAAGTCAGATTCAAGTTTAAATTGTTATCTGGGTAGTAATTTCCCTAAAGTTCGTTTATGATTCACTCTATGCTAAACCAAATTATTTTGGTGTCAAGATAGTCTGAATACTAGTTTAAGGGCATTCTAAATATACATAATATATAACTCATAGGTGACTGACTGACTGACTGACTGACATAGTAATAATTTATCATCGCACAGCCCAAATCACTGGACGGATCGGGCTGAAAGTTGGCATGCAGGTAGATGTTATGACGTAGGCATCCGCTAAGAAAGGATTTTACGAAACTCCACCCCTAAGGGGGTAAAACGGGATCCACGCGTTGGAAGTCGCGGGCGGCCGCTAGTATGCTCATAAAGGTAGCAGGAAGGCGCTGGATGCCGGCCGCTACCAACCGGGCGGTGTGGAAATCATTGGGAGAGGCCTGTGTTCAGCAGTGGACGTCCTGTGGCTGAAATGATGATGATAAGGGCATTTTGTAGCAAGAATACATTTAGGGGATGAAATTTGTACTTTTTAAAGCACAACAAGGAAGCTTTTGGCTTGCATCTCATCTGATTGAGTGATGATCAAGCCGATGGTGAAAGGTGGAAGCGAGCTTCACTTGAACTCCTCACAGGAACTGGCTATCTTACCTCCAACGGCCAAAACACAACAATGCTGTAATATTGTTGCTATGGCGATAGGCTTATTACAAACATTACTATGAGGTCTCACAGTGCGCGTGGACGCACAGGGTCACACACGAACCAACCACAGAGCACTAATCAACGATATGCGTTCGATTTGCTGCGTCACTTAAGCAAGCATCGTTTGCGAATTACCTACGGATGTTAGTAAGATGGTGGCAAACAGAGCCAAAAGTTGACCACAGCGAGCCAAAAATTTAGCCCCCATTGGGAATCAAATCCGGGACTTCTAGGGTCTGAGATAGTGGTGGTCTTACCACTAAACCACAGAGATGGTATTTCTTAACATTATGTAATTTTTTGATAACAATCAATTATTTCAGAACAGTTACTGAGACTACTACAAGAGATACCATCTTGGTATCTTGCGCAGATTTTGTTAAAAATAATATTTTTGAAGATTATGGGCTCAAGATGCTCCCTTCAAGCACACTTCATTTAATTTTGTTATTTTGTTACGCAATCGGCAAATCCTTCCCATATTTTGAACTTTTCTAGATCAAACCTAACTTTTGAAAACCATTTTTTATCTATCAAAAAAAAATTTGGTCAACCGCGCGCAGAATTTAAATCAAACAAAAAGTGACTTTGATGCGCTAGCTTTAAGATCGATATCGAATCGCGTGTGCGGATAAAAAAATTATATACGCAAAGGCGCCATGCAAATCACAGACTATAAAACTGGCGCCCGCGTCGGGAGCGTCGCAGTGCAGGCGCGTTTCCCGCCATATCACCTGTCAACGGTGTGGCCACTCAGAAAAATTTTTCTTTTAAGAAAAAAAAATGAGTGCGATCCTCCTTGTAGCCGTAATCGCTTTATGCGTGTATAAACTTTTTTCTAGAAAAACTGTAGCGTGGAAAAAAGTTAAAGGCGAAGATGTTGGGATAAAAACCGCACCGGGACCGACACCTTTGCCAATAATTGGGAACCTATACAATTTGGGCACCCACGAATCGCCGTTCCAGGCGTTTACGGAATTGTCTAAAAAGTACGGGGATATATTCAGTTTGACCCTCGGGAACACGCCATGCGTAGTCGTGAACAACTTAGAGCTGATTCGGGAAGTTTTGAACCAAAACGGGAAATTCTTCGGCGGGCGACCAGACTTCATCAGGTTCCACAAGCTGTTTGCTGGCGACAGGAACAATTGTAAGTCTTTTTAAATTATTTTTTGAGACATTTTTTGGTTATTAACACGTTCGTGGCCATAACTTTATTTTATTTTTAAATTTTTTTGAGACAATTTTTTGTTAAAACAATTTCGTGGCCATTATAATGATGGAATATTTAGCTATGTTTATTCAATTTTTTTCTCGTGTATGTTTTAAGATAACTTTGACGTAATTTAATTCAATTACTGTCTCAAGTTTTATTAATGATTTCTTGCCACTAACGTGTTAATGGCTTTTTGTAGAGTTTAAGTTAGTTTTGTAAAATATAGGTACGCGTTTATTTAAATTTTAAAATGTTGTGATAAAAGATCTTTCTGAACTTCATAACGTTAATATTTGAGATTTAAAAAAGTTACAATATCAAATTATTTGTTAAAAAAAATAACTAAATGTTACGTTTTGACATAATATTTTTAATGATGTTAGAGATTTTTTTATTGTTACAAAATGTAATATTTATTCAGTTACACGCAAATTATTTATTGCCTTGCGTTTTCAGGGTACTTTTACACGTCCTGAAATATAACTTGCCCTACAACTTCGGATTTTTTATTACTCAATTAAAAATCATTTTAATCTGTATTTATCAGTGTACTTAAAACTTAAGACTCACCTTCAGTAGACCCGGAAATCCAAAATTGGACACTTGAAACCGTGAACACCTTATTGTTTCAATTATTTTCTAATAAAACTTGACACATATCCAATTTCAATGGCGTTATATGATACACTGAGTTAAGAACGTGTTATTTCATAGTAGTCTTTTACCACAGCTGCGTACGCGTAGTTTTTTTTTACTTTTTACTAATAAAATGGTTCCGGCAGCATAAGATAGGACTAGGAATCTTCCCGTGGATGTCGTAAGAGGCGGCTAAGGGGTTAACGGTCATTCTCACGATTAGGCGTTCTCAGCCTAATTACCATATTATTTTTGAAATTTGACTTAATTGACTTAAACGCATTTAAATATAAAACACCTGAAAAGTGCGAATTTAACAATCGTAAAGGCGTCAAATTATTCAAAGCGGTTTCCGCGTAAATGAGACCCAAAAATTTTATGGTCACGGTAATTAGATAAGGCTAATACTTAATCTAACGGTAATTAGAAAAGATATGTAAAATAACAAAAAAACAACATCTTGCATTGATAAATTTGTACACAAATATATAGCGTCATAAAAAACGCTGTAGGTACTCTTAATAACCCTTTTTAAGAAGAAAAACACTAATTTCTATTATTTATTGAATTATTGAATTAAGATATTTTTAGTATACTGCAAGAATCGAGGCTATAACAGGAACACTTAGTTTCAGCAAGAAGGGGCTACTTGTTACATTTCAAATGAGAGCATTAGTTGAATTAGAATCTGAATCATCATTTATTTGCTTTAAATGTGGTACAAACGATGGATACAGATAATGGATCTCAAATGGTCTCACAATTTTTTCTTTTCGGATATGCATATATCGAAAAATTAATTAATGATATTAGCGTTTCTTTCCTCTTTTTAATCTATCTGCCATCAGCCATCAGCCATTATCAGATTGGATTGAATTTGTAATAATGACAGTTCCACCAGCTCTGCACAACCCATGATTTGTCACCTCGATTCTTTTACAATACGTTTTCAGATTGATGCTATTCGCTTTCTCCTGAGCCTGAATGTAGAGTTCTCAGAATTCAGAAAATATGCAGCAAATAGATTTCCTCTTTGACGTTTGGTATCACTTCAGTGGACTTTGTAAACCAAGGTGCACAGCTCAAGATTTTTAATACTTTATTTTGAAAACGTTAAAGTATTACTACATTTGTGAGGCTGGGTCGATGTCATATGTCTACATGGGTCTTAGGATGCATTTGTAAATAGTTTGTTCTCCAAGCTTCTTCTGCCCAGTATCCATTGCATATCACGAAGTTTTTTCTATGCATAACAAGCCAGTAGTCTAGGCATGCAGTCTAGGATGGTACAAAGTGCCTATACACTCTCGCCTTGAAAAGGCCCATTGTCTGTTCATTTGTTCCCTTTTGTTCTTAATGTGTTCACGCCAGGAAAGTGTTACTGTTGGACGATCTCTTCTTCTTAGGGCGAAGGTAATATGGATAGATTTTAAGGGTATTATATTAATTAATGATTTAACAAGTTAATATCAATTATATTAATAGTAAAATAAATATCTGGTAATGAGACATGTTTCACGCAGGGGTGACATCTCCTGGACATCAGGAAGCCCCGATTTCACTCCAGCTAACTTCTTTTTGTGGGGTTTCCTTAAGAGTTAAAACATACTCTATAATCCATCAACCATGAAGCAACTGAAGCTGAACATTCGTCATGAAATCGAATCTATTTCGAGGTAACTCTAACGAAAGCTTTTCAAAATGTTGACGTCAGATTGGAAGAAAAGTCCGTAAAGATGTTATGCGAAAGTCTAAGTATTTTTTCATATTTTATCCTCATACTTATTCAATCGTGAGTGCAATTTGTAGGTAATAATTTCATACAACGGTGATTATAAATATATGGTAATTAGTACATGGTAATTATAAAACGATAGTTTTTCCTCAAAATTTCCAAAATCTGCAGGGTATGCAAATCCTGTCTTACCACAATGTACGGAGGCCAAAGTAATGTTTCTATATAAACTAACAACGTGGATCTACTTTTATAAATCTAGTATAAAAATAAGGACATGGTAATTAGAAAAAATGAAAACTAAAGATATGGTAATTATACTCTTACGCAATTCAACGACGGTTACGCCAACGCAATAGACATCTACTTGCTAACAGGTCAAGGCACTAACTAAGGGCTAGCGCCGCGCGCGTTATTGATGTGTCAAATACTATTATTTAGGCTAGTATGACCACGAACAGAAAACGTAACGGTAATTAGGGCTTTAGCTCGGACAAGCGGTTTTTTAATTATAATTATTTACAGAATGGTTCTATTGAATAGATATTTTGCCAAGCATAAGACAATCTTATAAACTCTTTAAAATGTTGAATGGAGTAAATTAAATCTACACGACATAAAAATTACAGCCAACTTTTAACATTAAGTCGGTGTGCGGACGCGTCACGGTAATTATAGAACAGAGGTTCATGAAATTAATTTAGCCACTTATACTTAAAATAAAGGCCTATGATTTTATGCACAACTGGATAGGGTTGTTAAGTAATATATAAAAATACTTGCATGTCTCTAATTTGTCATTTTTAAGGATTTAACAGCCCGGACACGTAAAAACTAGCTAATCTGAGAATGGCCGTTAATAGACGAATATTATGCCCGTTTTCACCATTCCCTAATTTTTAAGTGACCCCTATGGTAACACATACCAGGAATTTTGTTTTCATAGGGGTCACTCACGTCTTTAAAATTAGGCATTGATGGTAAAAACGGGCATTAAGCTTCTAATTTCATCAATTACTAGCGGCCTGCCCCTGCTTCGCATATGTGAATTTTTGTTTTTAAATTATTAAAAAAAATATGCCTATGTTTATCTAAAAAATCAGGATACTGATAGTGAAAGAATTTTTCAAATCGGTCCAGTAGATTCCTATTCAATACAAACATACACGTCTTTCCTATTTATAATATTGGTATAATAGATGGTGCCGTGTCGTGTGGCTCCGGTACCTAGAGTAGAATAGGACAACCCTCACTCTTTCCGAGGATCTCGTAAGGGGCGGTTAATATACGAATGAATATGAGGCCTCTAATTTTATCTAATTAATATAATTAACTAGCGGCCGCCCGCAACTTCGTACGCGTGGATCCCGTTTTACCTCCTTAGGGGTAGAGTTTCCTAAAATCCTTTCTTAGCGGATTCCTACGTCATAACATCTACCTGCATGGCTTTCAGCCCGATCCGTCCAGTGGTTTGGGCTGTGCGTCGATAGATCACTATGTCAGTCAGTCAGTCAGTCACCTTTGAGTTATTTAGATTAGATTTGAGACAGATCATACTTGTGTTATTATCTTTTGACATACCTCATCTGCCGTCACCACACGGTGCGGCATATGCCGTGTGGTGACGGCAGAGTAGAATACATTTGTCACCAACCCCTACTCTTCCCGCGGGTGTCGTAAGAGGCGACTTAGGGACTACACATCAAACAGAGAACGGGTAGCAGCGCTCTCTGACAAACATCAATCTTTTAAACTGCGATCTCCAACCCGCCTGCCAAGCGTGGGGATTATGGCAAAACCCTCCACTATAGTGGAGGAGGCTCATAGTCCAGTAGTGGACTGTAAAGGGCTGTTGATGATGATGATGATACCTCATCATGACTTATCGGCAAGACCTGGAGCGAGATCAAGCGAGAAGCTCAAGACCGAACGAGATGGAGGACTGTTGTGGACGCCCTCTGCCCCATCTAGGGGACATAGGACCATAAGTCATACTTGTGTTTTGACGTACCTCATCATCATCAGGTCATTTAGTCTCCACTTTAGGAGCACGACCCTCTCCAATGTAGGATTTCGCCTACACTTCTAATGTACCGAACTACTGGAATGATTTGAAAATTCTTTCACCATGAAAATTTTCTTTTTTAGATGATGATAGACATTTTTTAAAAATAACAATTTTTTTTTTTTTTTATTAAGTAGGTACTGGCCCATTTATTGTCCCAAAGCAGTTGTAGGGTTAATAATACGGGGACGTGTAGTGCTTTTTATGAGCCTACTTGGAAAAATAAATGAGTTTACTACTCCTGCTCGTGCGAATCCGGGGTGGGTCGCTAGTTACATCTATCTTTATAGATAAAAGCGAAAGGTCACTGATTGACTGACTCACTCATCACGAAATCTCAGAAACTACAAGTGCTAGGAGTCTCAAATTTTGCATGGAGGTTCCTTTTAGAACGTAGATGCTGACTAAGACGGGATTTTGCAAAATTGAACCCCTAAGGGGGTAAAACGGGATCCACGCGTACGACGTCGCGGGCGGCCGCTAGTATCATAAAAATGG